TGTGCCCCCAGGACCTGCAGAGATGAGCAGGGCTGTTCTTGGCTGTTGGCACTTAACATCTCAGAGCTGTGCTGGTGCTGAGCCGGCTGCTTAGTGTGTCAGCAATGCACACTGTGCTGCAGGGGTCTGTTTGGCAGTGAAAGCACCAGCAAGGCTTGATCCTGTTGAAATCAAGCCCTTTCCTTTCCTTTGGGTAAGGGGAAAACAAAAGGTCAGAGTGCACATCACAGATTTCATAACCTTTGACGTCACATCACGTGATTTGGTAGCATGGTGGGTTAAGCCAGCACTGAGTTTTTGCTGGGGTGGTAGGATCACAAATTCAGCTCACTGGTACAATGAGTTGTTGGGTCTCTGAACAGCCATGCAGTGCAGCAAGGCACCCTCCTGCTCATTGCTTCAGTGAGGGGGGGCATGGCTGGGAGCGAGGTGGGGATGAGGAGCAGTGAGCTCATGAGCAAACTTTGAGCCCTGCAAACACAGTCAAGGGGCCAGGCCCCCCCCAGTTCAGCCCCAGCTTTGTAGGAGGAGCTATTCATGACTCCTTCATTTCTTCTCTCATAGAGATTCTAAACCCTTTGGGACTTGCCCAGGTGAGAACAGTGAAGCTCAACATCCCCATCCCTGGAAGTGTCCAAGGCCAGGTTGGGCTGGGCTTGGAGCAGCCTGGTCTAGCGGAAGGTGTCCCTGCCCATGGCAGGGATTTGGAATGAGGTGATCTTTAAGGTCTCTTCCAAACCACACCATTCTATGATTTGCCTGGTGATTGCCCAGCTCCTCTCCAACCATAAGGAAAAGTATCTTTAGGGGTCAGAAAACAAACAAAGAACAACCACAATCAAGCTGCCTGTGCTACATCTCCCACCCATACAACCTGTCTTAACTGATTATTAAATCATATTTGCTGATAAGTACAAGATGTAATATCTATTACACAGCTGTTAAACCTCAATTAATATGTTTTAATGATCAGTCGTTTACTGTGCAATATACAATTAACATCCGGTATTAGCTCTTAAATTAAATGCGTGTTTGGGAAGCTAAATTTGCAGCACTGAACATCACCATGCCACGGTACACAGTGATAATTGCCTCCAGCAGACAGGCTTTCTGTGCCCCGAGAGGGGGTTAAACCAACACCCTTGGCATCAGAGAAGAATGGAGGAGAATTCCTACAGGAGCCAGGTTCTACTTTGTCGGTGTATTTTGATCCCTACAGAGGTTTTCATTCATTTCCCTTGGAAAAAGCACCCCGATGCTGAGCTGCTGTGCGTGTGAGAAGGTTGAGCTGTGTGGGGTACCGGCTCAGAGGGGTGTTTCCTTGGCAAGGGTTGGGCAGGAACACAGGGCAATTAGTTGTGCTGAGTCCTGGAGGCTCTGCAAGGGGGTTTGGTGCTGCAGTTTGGATCTGAGACTGAAACCTTAAATCAAGGTTGATTCATGTTACCTGCCAGGAGGAAAACCCTCACTGCCCCCTGGGTTTGGAGCCATGCAGGGAAGCAAACTCAGCTCTTGGTGTTCTCCAGGCAGCGCCAAAGAGCTGTGTGTGTGGGCAGTGCACTGCAAAATCAGTCACAGAATGGTTTGGGTTAGAAGAGACCTTAAAGATCATCTTGTTCCACCCCACCTGCTGTAAGTAGGGACACCTTCCACTAGACCAGGTTGCTCCAAGCCCTGTCCAACCTGGCCTTGAACATTTCCAGGTTTGGGGCATCCACAGCTTCTCTGGGCAACCTGTGCCAGTGCCTTATCATTTTCTGAGTAAAAAGTTCCCCCTTGTCCTATCACTATTTGCCTGTGTAAAAAGTTGCTCTCCTCTCTTTTTTATAAAACGCAGGGGTGTTGGGCATCCAGCAGTGCAGAGGGGTGCAGGGGTGGCTTCTCCAGCCTCGAGAAGTTGTAAAATTTGATTTTAATTATGTTTGGGTTTTTTTTAAATTAATTTTAATTCACACTAAAGATGGGGGCCAAAATGCTCCCTCTGATCCCTGGCACTGCTGCTGTATCTGCTCTGACAAGTGAGCCCACGTTGTCTGGCAGGACACTGAAGGACCCAGCTTGTTCTCAGCACGCTGCTGCCTTGTTAACACAAGATTCACCTTACTTGAAAAAGTGTTCCTAAGCAAAAATGAAGAAAAATCTTTCCTTCTCCCTTCCTTTTGCTTTTGTCACACTTGGGGGAGCAAATGAAGATTGATATGTTTTTCTTCTAGTCTTTCAGTTTAAATATGCAATGGGGGATCTTATAAGAAAAGGAGGCCTTCACCCCTCATCTTTTCTCTACAGACCTTTCCTCTCACCCCAGTGCTTTGCTACAGCAGATGCAACCTCTGCTGAGATTTGGAGACAGGGTGGTGCTGCAAATGTGGCTCCCCTGGTGCTGTAAGGACATGTGTGGGAGCTGGCTGCCACCCAGGCAGCCCCCTCCTGCAGCATCCTGCCTCATTTTTTATGCACTCTCCTTCCAAAGCTTCCTATGAGGTTTGCTGTGTTTATTTTTGGGGGAATTCTCTGCCATTCTTTAGAGGGTTTCATTTTTTTCTGGGAAATCAGTGCTTTCTTCTTTCTCTGTAAATGGAAAGTAAAACATGCGTGTCTGATTAATACTCAGAATTGCTGGTGTCTCCCTCCCAAGTTCCCACATCACCTCGTTTGGTGTTGATGAGAGTGACCCAGGTGTTTCATGGAACCTGTTCTTCTGTGCCAGGATTGTACACAACTTGCAATATTTTGATTCCCAGCTGACAGGTTTGGGAAAGAACATCATTAGGAAGAGGATGATTGTGGATTGTCCTAAATGTTCATGGGGAAAAGCAGCCTGTCCACTGGAGGCCCCAGTGTGTGCTCCAGTCCTGACTGTGTGGAGGGTACTGGAAGGGAATTGGTGGGGGAAAGCTGGCAATTTCCTTTGGAATGTGAACACCAGGCAGTGATCCCTCAGACCAGCTGAGCATCTAGATTATTTTCCAAGGGGGAGTTGATGCAAGTGCTCCCAGCTGTGAGCTTTGGCTGTCTCAGCTCAGTGCCAGAAGGGGACCCCAGAATCAGCCATTAACTCCAGGATCTGCTTCCCATGGGCTAAAACTTGTATTTCAGGCAATATCCCACATCTTCCCTTGGATGGCCCGGGTAGGGGTTAACACACATGTCCTTCACATAAGCAGTGAGCTTTGTTTCTGCTGAACCCAGGATCTGGAGGGAGGTGGAAAAGGCAGAGCCAGCAGTGCAAGCTGATCCTCTCCGGAGAGCAGATGCATTTAAGCAGCACAAAGCAGAGGAAATCTGATTCCAGTGTTGACAGAGCTGCCTTGGCCACCCAAAGTGGGCTGGGCAGAGGGGCTGGAGCAGGCAGGAAGGCTCTGAGCTGGTGTGGCCAATACACCTTCATCCTGGCCAAGCCTCCTTGCCCCAACAGGCAATCCCTTCCCCTCTTGCTTAAAGGAATAAAAATACAGGAGGTTGTGATGGGACCTGTGGCAAGGACAAGGAGGCACTTTGAGCCAGATTTATCTGTGGCAGCTTCCAGAATTCACCCTTAGCCCGTGACTAAGGGTGACACACATGAGAAAACAGGCTCAAAGAAGGATGAGTCTGGATGTGTGTTGCTAATTTTTCCTCCTCGGGGTTGAATCTCCACCTTTCAAAAATATTAAACCCATGTACAGCTTTGATCTGGCATTCAGGATCCATTGTTTTCTACAGTTTAGCCCACTCTCTGCTCCATCCCATAGAGGATTCTTCTTTAAAACACGCTTAGGAGAAGGATGTCCAGTGAAATGCTTCAGATGAGCAGGCAGGCTATACTGGCCTATGAATATGCTATTGAAACATCTTTATTTCTTCTTATTTGGTATTTTTGCCCCTCTGTTCTCCTTTCTTCTGTCCCTTTCTAGCTTTTTTTCCCCCTCATTTTGCTTGGTTTTAATCATCTGCCTGGCCATCTGTGCCTCCCCGCTCCCTTTCCTCGGAGCTTCTCCAAAGCAGAATAATGTTTCAGGGACTCTTGGATTTTGCCTCCAAGCCCTGTACCTTTTCTTGGGCCCAGGCTAGAACACAGTGTTTCAAACAGGGTTTGGAGTCTCCTGTGAAACCTAGAAAAGTTCCCCTACCTGCCCTCTTGGCTTCAGAGCAGCTGTTTAAGGACAGACACAAAAAGATGACTTTCACAGTCACCTCTCTTAGGCAGGATCTTGGATGTACATCACCACAGGATTGAATTATCCCAGTTTTTCCATGTACTTGTTCTTGCAAGAGCACTGTGGGAGTTACTGGTTGTTCTGTAGTCTCTTGTAGTGGCAAAACAGACACAGGCAGGGGGGAATAAATTCCCCTGGTGATTTTCTGCATGTTCTCCTAAAAGCTGCTTTGTGGCAGAGCAGTTCCAAAGTTGCTTGGCTGGTGTCCTAAACAACAAGTTATCTATTGGTGGCAACACAGCTCCTACAGGTTTCCTTTAGCCTGTTGGAACCTTCTCCCTGTTTTTCCTGTCTTTGAGATCCCCCCAAAAATAAACTGCATGGTGAGAAATGACCCATTCCCAGGATGCTGATGACAGACAGTGACCATGGAAACCTGTACGGGGACCCCCCTCTGCAGTCAGTGATGCCAGTTCACTGTTCTAGGTGTGCAAAACTTTTGTGCAATATTAAAAATTAGCTTCACCTCTGGAAAGGGAAGAGAATGTAAAGGGAGAAGCCCTCTGCCAGCTGCCATGGGCCCCACGAGGTGCCCAGCTCAGCAGTGATATTCACTGTTAATAGAGTGTTTTCTAACTGAGCTGAGCAGTGTTGCAAGGTTTGGGGATGGATGAGGGTGCAGATTTGTCATGGCTGGGACTCTTGGCCTTGGCGTGGCATCCTGGGGTCCCACTCGGGGCCTTGAGACCCTGAGGATTTGCACGGCAGGGAATAAATATTGCATTTTCACCGCTGGTTGATGCTGCTGACGGGGTGCCAGGCTGACTCTGGGTCCTGACCCCGCGTTGCTCTTTCCCTCCGCAGAAAATGAGTTTCGGGGTGAGCTGCTGAATCAGAGGTGGACCTGCGGAGAGAAGATCAGCAGCTGCGAGGGAGCCGCCAGCCTGCACGGCACACACATCAAGGTGAGTACACAAGATTTTACTTTTTTAGCACAGCCACCACCCCATGTGTTGGCCACAGGATGAGGGCCACGTGCTGCTCCAGCCCTGCTGGACCAGCTGGCCCTGGGGGACGGAGCCTTTCCGGTACCCAAAGTGATGAGCAGGACTTGGAAGTCTCTTGTGTCCTTGCTACAGCCAAACCTCCTGTGCCATGAATCCAGGCAGGGAGGGCTTCCAGCTGTCAAGATTTGGCTTGGAGTCCAGATATTTAAATCCTTGCCTTCCTCTCCGGTGCCATCCTTCAAGGGTGGCTCAGATCTGGGTATTTAGGTCGCTCCCAGGGCTGTTAAAATAGGCCCTTTCTCCAAGGCGCCGGCTGGTCGGAAGGAGCCCCTCGAGCACCAGGTGAAGCTGTGGTGCCTTTGGAGGGGACAAGCGAGGCATTCATTCCTGCCGGGACCCCGGACAGCTCCTTGGGCTCAACAGAGCCACTCATTTACTGCTGCAGCTGTGGCTGATGAAAGAGGCACAGCCAAAGCTGTCAAACCTCCTGGCAGATTCTCTGCCAGCAGATCAGGAAGTTTTAATTAAGCAGAGAACTGGGCTGCTCACTACACAAGTGGTGCTTCCTGTCCTATTTTGGCCTCTCAGTAGTGAGGAATCATCTCCAGTGCGTGGATGGACCCACCTGGGTGGTGAGGAAGCCTCCTTGGGTGACTGATGTTACCGAGCCTTCCTGTATCCCCAGATAAACCAAACCCTGGTAAAACCCCAAGCCAGCAAAAATCCACTCTTAAAAACCATCCTTCTTCACTAACAAGCTGTCAGCTGCACACAGGTGTCGCCAGGAAAGCTCACACCTTCTTAGAAAGCAGAGTAAGCAGTTGTTGCTATATTTAAAATGAGCTCAATTAAGGCTTTTCTATTGAACCTGCCAAATAAGCACTTAGATTAGATTTAATAAGATTGTCGTATGTTAATAAAGCAATGATTACAAAAGGTAATATTCCCAGTACCTGGTGCTCATCTAGTGCTCTGCCTCTGACAAGTACATCGTGAATATTAACCATTTCTTGCAGTCCCCATTTCTGCTTCTGTGTGTTTTTTGGGGGTGAGAGGAGGAAATGGTGAGAGGGAGTCTGGAGGGAGCCTGGATATGTGTGTGTGTGTGTGTGTGCAGCCCTCTTACCTCACAGAGGGAGAGGTCTTGATCCCTCTCTAACCTTTGGATCTGCACTGTGTGCACACACTTGCACTTACAGGTGTGCTGATAAATACATATTGTATTTAAGTGTAGTTTTTCATGCCAGTCACAGCTCGTAATCCACAGGATGTGCAGCGGTGAAGGACAATGGGATGTGGGGCACATTTACTTATTTATTTTTGCCTCTGAAGAAGTCCAGGCATGGGATACAATTTCCCATGACAGGTTTGAAATGAGATCTCTGCGGTGCTGGCGAGAGCTGATCTCTGCACGGAGCCAGCTGAGCCCGTCTGCGTGGACGCTCCTGGACTGTGGTGTCTGATGGCAAAACGAATGTTTGTGTCCCAAATCTTTCTTTTCCAGTGCCATAGGGAGCTAGCTGGGGTGCAGCTGAATAGCAGGCAGCTTGTTGGTGAAGGCTGACTGCTGTCAGGACAAGCAGGGATGGTGCTGGGGTCACCAGAGCCCATCCCTCCCACAAGCACTGGCTATTTTGTCCTCTTTGGAGAGATGCACGTAGCTCACTTCAACAATCCCCTCACATGCTGCCAGTCGAGGATAATCTTATGGAAAAGGCAGCTTATTATCGAGCTGGAAAACAACGAGGTCGGAGAACCACGATTTATTTTTTTTTTTTCCCCCCCACCCCCTTCCTCTCGTGGCGTGAGAGCCATCGGCACGTATGGAGCCACTTAGGCCTCCCCGGCATTGGGATTGCGTGTCGTTGTAGCCCTGTGAGACAGTCAGGGGGAAAGTGCATGTCAACTTAAACTACAGCGCATGAAATCACCCGGCCCGTTGCGCGGATGTCGGCGCTGCGGACGCGCCCGGTGCAGCTGCGGCTTCTGTCAGACGTGATGCTCGGGAGCAGCTTTTCTGCTCCGCTTCCCCTGGCGTGGAGGGAGGATGCTGCTGCCATCGCCACGGAGCGCCGGCGCTCGGGAGGCGTTTCACTCGCAGCACCGGCTGCTTTCCGGGGCGGGGGGATGTTGGACCCTTCCTGCAAATGCAAGCTGACAGCACGGCTTCAGGAAGGATGTTTGTGACACAGCTGTAGTGTCGGATTCGAGGTGGGTACAAGCTGTGGGTTTGCGTCTAAACGCATCAAGGAAAAAAATCCCACACCCCGCCCCCGACTCCAAGCCCGGGAACACCGAGCAGGGTGTCCTTTCCTGGAAGCAGTCACAGCAAAAGGCAGGCGGGAGTTTAGTCAGCCGAGGACAGGACTCACAATAGGTGGAATGTCAGGAGGATTTAAATCAAGCTGCCAGGAAGACCCTAAAGGAAGAAGAGGGGGAAAAAAAAAAAGAACTCCTAATCTCGGAGTGTGGTTATAAAATAGCAGCTGGGAGCTACTGTTGAGGCTTTCTTAAAAGTAGAAGCACACTGTTGATCAAGGGTATTTCTTCCTCCATCACCTCTCACTTAAGTAAGCTGGAGAAGGTCCAGCAGGACAAAGTCCTCTTCATTTTCTGCAGTGACCAAAGATGCCGTGGCACTTTGCAGAGAGCAAGGGGGAGAAATTTGGAGGCCCAGATCAAGGTCTCTCCACCCCTTTTCAGCCTACAACAGGCAAGGAGGAGGAATTCCTGGTAAGGTGGAGGAACATCCCCCTCCTCCCCAAAAGAAAAAAAAAAGAGGGAGGAGAAATCAGGACAGGCCATTCAAACCTGTCCTCACCAGCTGGTAGGACTGAAGGGCAGTTTTCCTGCCTTTTCCCTTGAGGAGTTAATTGAGGGGCTCTTTGGATCTGGAAGAGGGGGAGGACCAAGCAGAAAACTGCTTTTCAACTATTCTGTAGGAAAAATGTCATTTCTTCTGGCATGTTCCTTCTGCTGCTAGGCAAATGTAAGTTTAGAGAGTTTTTTTTAAAACTAAAAATAGAGGCTCTGTGTGTCCGTCTGTCCCTCTAAAGCTCAGATGCAGCTTCTTGCAATTGGCATTTTGCTGTGTCCACAAATAAGCACTGATGGAAGCTCTGCTGCTTTCGGTGTAAAATAAATATTCCTGCTGAATCCTCACCTCCCTTTGTCCAGCTGAAGGCTTTTTCAGCATGTTTATTTTCTCTGAGCTCCGTGGTGCTCTTGAATACATATAAAGTATTAGTGCTGACCGGGGGGAATTTCAGCAGGGCCCTTAATGGCATAGATTTGCATAGAGCTGTCGAAGCCCAGGCACACCTGGGCATCAGCACATGGTGGGCTCCCAGTGGGTTTATGTTCTGTTACGTTCCTTGGTCCCCCATTGCAAAGGAAATGTGTATTAAGATAAGAAGGAAGAAGAAAATATCAACCCTGTAGGTACTCCATAAAATGAAACTTCAGATCCATGCTGTATTGCTGTCTTGGCAGCAGAACAAGACCTTTACTTTAGAATCAGGCTGTCAAAATTCACGTTGTAACAGCGGGTTAAACTCTTTCTCAAGTTTATCTGTTTGAACCTCATTGACTTAGATTTGCAGTATTGACACGTCATCATTTTAACTTGTATTCTGGTTGTGTCAGGGAGCTCCTTAGTGTGGGGTAAACACATGGTGCCATGGTGCAGGGGATATTTCTTCCCTTTAGAGAGAAAACGGGGGAAAAGGGGGTACTCAGAGATGAAGTGGTGTTCCCAAGGTTTCCCTGATTGTCAGTGGCAGAACACTGAGTTGAATCCTGAAGTGAGTACCCTGAGACCCAGCACAGGGTCCTTTCCTGTAGCATTGGGTTAGGAAACCTGCTAGATGCTTATTTTGATTCAGTCTTAGAGACAACCTATTGATAAGTGAGGAGGAGCAGAATAAACCTCTGCATTTTCCAGCTGGACTAACATGCCTGTGGCTGGCATTTGGTAGCAATAATTTATTTGCAGGTTTCCCTTTGGATTGCTTTGTTTTCACTCAGAGTTAAAATAATAAGAGTGAAATCCAGACAGCTTCTCAGCCTGGCTGTTATGTGAACAAGTAGAGAGACCTAATGAAAATACCCTGTTGGCCTCCAGGACTGCAAACATGCACTGTGTGACCTGAAATTCTGCGTTAAAACGATCTGTCTGGAGGGCTTCTGGCTGAGAGGGCAATAATAAAGGACAGTGGTTTCATGTAACCTTCCTGCATCCGAGCCCGATACCACGGAGGCTCCTGAGGTGCAGGCATGGCTGTGCCAGCTGTTTAAGTGGACTGGGAGGAGCAGGGCCTGAGCTCCGAAATGGATCTTGTTCCTGGTGTTCCTGAACTTTGGTGGGGAATGAGGATTTTTGAGGATGCTGTTGCTGTTAATTTAAGCTGAGAAAAGCAGCCTGATGGTAGAAAACAGAGTCTGGGAGTGCAGAGCCCACCCCATCCTGCCTGTGATGCAAGTGGAATAAATACACAGCGGTGAGGCTGTGACAAGTTCTCTATATAAGCAGAGGGGTCTTCCCTATGGGGAAACCCTCAATAATTTAGAATTTTGGGGTTTGGTGGTTTGTTTTGTACAGTAGGTGAGGCAAGGCAGCCTTTTTGGGTTTTGCAGTCTTCGGTCCTCAGCCAGCTTGGGTCTGTCCCTGTCTTAGGTGGCTCCTGTCCCCACTGCCCATGTGATAACCAAGTGTGCTCCTGTCTTCCCAGGGTGTTTGATCCTGGCTTGAAAGAGGTGTGGTAGGCAATGGGAGGAGTTACTTTGAGGTGCTGTGTTGTAGTGAGGCTCCTGGATGTTACCTCAGACGTGATACTTAATTTCCTGAAGACAAATGTTACATGACATGGGATTTCCCCTATTTATAGATCTCCCACATTTATAGACAAGCAGCTTGAGCCCTTCCCCCATGCCTGTCCTCGAAGGGCAGGGTTAAGAAAAGTGAAACTTTTGCTTTGCTTTTCCATGCTGGCCCTGTGGCCTCCTTTTTTTGGCCAGAGCTGGCCCCTTGCAGGTGATGCCCATTGCCCTTCCCACAGCCTGACCTCCTCTGCCACTTCGAATAACTGATCTGCGGGAAACCCACACTGCCAAGGCACCAACCCAACATGTGCCAATTCCTTGGGAGATCTGTCAAAAGAAAAAAAAAAAAAAGAAAAAGAAGAAAGAAAAAGCCCTCTCTGAAATTCCTTTTGGTTGGAGGCTCCCAGCAATCCAAGGTATTAGTTGTATTGTCGGCGTGCGGCGGCATCAGGGAGCGAGCTCAGCACACGCCGACGTTGAAAGGCTCATAAATGTAATGAAGTCCCTGTGACACCTGCTCCTCTCCACACTTTAAACGTGAGCCATTGGTCCGCAGGGAACCAGGGCTTTAAAAATACAAATTATAGTAATTGTCTGCTGTGTTATTGGGAAGATTGTAATAAATGTGGAGCACAACACCGCGGTGCCATGAGCTGAATGCTGACAGGGTGCATAAATTGCTTCAGGTTTTGATTCCCCACCACCACTTTTTTTTTTTTTTTTTTTTTCCCTTTCCTATCTAACCTCCCCATGTAACAAATCACATAAATCATCGCATGCTAACAGTGAATTTCTGGAGGATGGCAATGGAAAGGAGAGAGGCACTCAGAGAAATTTCATCCCTCCTCTCTGAGGTGGTTTTAGCTGTGGTGCCCCACAGGCTGGGAGCCTTGGTTTCTTCTCCCTGCCTGCCCAACAGCCTCCCTCCCTTCCTCTTTTCTGCCTCCAAATCTCAGGGAAAACACCAAGCCAGTGCATCCTTTGAGGGTGAGGACCCCTGGCCCATCCACCAAGAAAATGTTTTAAGATGAGTGTGGGGATGCAGTGGCACATCATACCTGCATCATCCCTACTGCCAGCAGAGCAGCATGTGCTCTGCATGTATGTCCCTTCCTGCCCCTTGACCAGCAGCTACTGGTGTCCCTGCTCTCTCAGGGGTGTTAGAGGGTTAGCCTGGAACCTCCTCATTTGGGGATGGCCCAGGAGCTGGTTGGATCCTTCTCTAACTGGGCCTTGTAGAGGATGATCTAAAGTGAATTTGATTTTATTACATCAAATCCCACTTGCAAATGGTCCTTTCCCCTGCTTTTCCCTTTCCTTCTTGTTGTCTCAGGAGGAAGTGTCCCACATTGTAATATAGCAGTAAAACCCAAGTTTTCTTATCCCCAGCCTATCAGGCTATGATCGCTGTCCCTGCTCACATTCCAGTCCTGCTGTTTCCCCTTGGCATTTTCTGCCAAACATTCCTGCCTGCAGAGAGAGCATCTGTGTCAAGGGCAAGATGTAAAACAGCCCTTTGACCACTTCAGCACCTCTGTTGACAACTTTAATGAAATCCCATTTATATTATTCCAGCTGTGTCTTTCTGCCATGCCTTGGAGGTCCCTGCTTTCCTGCTCTCACCTCCAGGCACTGCCTGATTTCAAAGCCTCCCTGACACCAGGGCTTGGGTGCTGCACCCCAGAGGTGGCTGCACTTCAGCCTTCTGCTACCTTGTGGTATGTGGTGATGTTTAATTAATATCAAGCACTTTGAAGTCCCCAGTGTTACTTATTCATGCTCGTGTTCCCCGCAGACCCTCCTGTTTGATGTCCACGTTGGGGGTGTCATTTAGATGCAGTCCTCTTTGTGGCAAATTTAAGAAGAGAGGAGAGGTTGCTCTTTAGGGCACTTGTGAAAAGTTGCCCTTTTCAGGCAGGAGATCATCTTGGACACATATTCAGAGATTTCTGAATACATGCTGGCATGGCACTGGGGTGCTTACAGTACTTCTGTGGTGTAAACCCAGAGAAACCAGTTCTGCCCTTAAAAAGTGCATTCTCAGGCACAGCCATTCTCCACCACCGACCATCACATCTGGGTGTTTGTCCCTCTGTGGTACCCAGCAAGCAGAGGGTCCTTTCTGTGTCCTGGGATGTGGAAATTAATTTAAACTTGCTAAGTTTGGGCACTGTGTTGAACAATTGCATCAAAGCAAGAAACCTCCACCTCAAAAACACAGGAAAGTTTTCCCTGCTGCCAAGGTATTTACACAAAGCAATAACCACATGAAAGATTGTTCTTTAATGATAATTTTCTTGCTTCCTTTCAGCAGTGATTCTTTTCTTTCCATTGCAGATGAGTTTAGAAAATGACGATAAGAGAGCACGCACGCGATCCAAGTCTGTCAGAGGTGAGCAGCTGATTATCCCACAGCACCACAGCTCCTGAGCTCCCTGCACTTCCCTTGTTCCAAATAGGCTTTGATTTTTCAGGTCTAGGCTTAACTCCCCGAGTTATGCTCACTGCCCCCCACTCCCCAACCCCACTTAAACTTTTCTAAAAATCCCTCAAAACTCCCAACCCCAAAGCTTTTCTAGGTCCTTATGATATTTAACCCTCATCCTCTACACCCAGAAAAAGGAAAATAACAAGCAAATTAAAAAAAAAAAAAAAAAAGCCCCTGTGCATGCTTTGCTGTAGGGGATGGCAATCACTGGAGCTTCAGATCAGCTCCCGGGGCTTTCATCATGCTCACTCTGCCAGCGGCTTTGAAGTCGCACATCTGAGAGAGCCTGGCAGAAGTAGCTCATGCTGGAGAAGCAAACGGGCCATCCCCCGGCAGGGATGGGAGGACAAACGACTGGTTCATGCAAAGCTCGATTGCTATTTATTTTCTGATTTAAAAAAAAAAAAAAAAAAAAAAGGAAAGAAAGAAAAATAAGCGCAGGTCTCTCTGCGTGCTTTCTCTTCAGGAGAAGGTGAGGGGCTCTGATGCTGAGCTCGAGGTGTCTCCTCAGGTGGTCCCACATCCATGTGTGATGGTTACAGACCAGCCTCTTGATTTTGGTTCCTTTTTGGGGTTGGGGATTTGACAGAGGACAAAGGTGGCTGGAAATGAGGAGTGAGCAAGGCTGGAAAGGTGTGATGGCTGCAGGGACTGCAGCTTCATCCTACAGCTGGGCTGGACCACCTCCCTTTGTCCTCACCTTGCTCTTCACAGCATTTGCATCTTTAAAAACAAACAAACAAAACAAATCAAACCCAGATGCTGCCAGTTGTGCTGAACCGAGCTTGGATATTTGGATTTCACTGCTTTGTTGCACATACACAAAGGTGCTCGCTCAGGTTGCAAATGAGAGCCCCCTGATCCTATTTATTTTCTCACACCCTGCCTTCCCCACACTTGAATCTGGGTTTCTCCATGTGAAAAGGTAATTTATTGTGTACACCCTGGGACTTGCCACTGCCTCCAGTTTGTTGAAGCTTGTGAGTCATCCCACTGGGAGCTGGATCCCAGGAAACCAAATTAGCTCAAACAAATTGAGCAAACGTGTTATGGTTTTTAGCCTGGGCAAATTTAGACTTGTGTTGAGGGATTTTTTTTTTTTTCCTCCTGATTATTTGGATTCCTGGCTGGATGTAAGATTTTAGCTATGATGATGTGAAGTTATTGCATATAGTTATTGTGAGCAGGGAGAAGTCCTCTTATTCACAAGTGGGAAATAATCCCTAAAACCCTTACAAACTATTGTATATCCTAAACCCCAAGTAACACATCCCCTACCATATATCTGAGCACTGATAGGGGCTCAGTCCAGTGTGACAAGAGGAGGAGAAAAATGGTGTTTTAGAGGTGAATGTGGCCATTGCAGCAAAACAGTTGTAAACTGTGGAAAAAGGAATTGATGAGCAGATTTTAAGGGCAAACACAGAGAAGAAGGCATGAGAAAACTCAGTCTTTACTTAAACTTGTTTGAGTTACATGCATGTCAGTCTAGCTCCACTGACTTCAAAGTCATCTGTATTCAGAGAAGAGAGGTAGTCCCTGATGCTGCAAACGTGCACTCACGTGCTTGAAAATAAGCACAGGTATGAGGATTTACAGGGCAGGATTATGATTTACCACAGGCTGGCATGCAGTAAATGACAGCAGGATAGATTTTCCCTTTCTGTCCTGAATGGGATGCCCGAGGAGGCAATAGAAAGGCAGCTGCAGGCAGGAGAGTTTCCCCCGGAGCAGGGGGATGTCTTAGGGTGGGGCCGGGCACTCCTATTGTGCGTTTGACCGTGTGTTTGTTTCCATTTCTGCATCTGCCCCTTCTCCCAGTGCCCACGGAGCTCATCGGCCAGGAGGTGAGGTAAGGACCCTGCTCCTCCTTGGCAGTGGGGTGGGTGGGGGGCACATGGTGGGACTGGCTTGGGATAAGCCCCTCAGCTTGGGAACCTGTGTGTGGGGAGCAAACCTGTGGGACCAGTGGGGTGGAGGTCTTGCTGCAGGGGCTTATTCTGGCTTATATACACCTTGTTGTGTCCAGGTCCTCAGGGTACCACTTGACAAAACACGTCAGGAATCTCAAGGTTTAAAGGGAAGAAAACAGGAGCTCTGGAAGGGTCACATTAGACCAGAGACCCTCCAGCCACCCTCTGTCCAATCCCACATCTAAACCACAGCATAACCTAATGCCCATGTTTTCTATTCCAGGATCATTAGGGACAACATCCTACTAACCAACTAACCACAGTTTCTTTTCCACATATTTTACAACCTCTTATTCCCCCCAGACAATATTGTGTCACATCACTTCTCGTGCCAGATGCTCCTCCTTTGGCCCCGTGTCCCCTGTTCAGTCACCGAGGTCCTGTGGTCACTCATTTAGCTGTGCTGGCTTGCCAACAGCAGCAGCCAAAAGAGCAGGAGTGGAGCCTCTGCAGCCCTACAGAGCTTCTTAATAGATATTACAGCCTCCCCCACCTCTAAGCCCCCATTAAACCTTTCACAAGGGCTTTTGCAGGAGGTAGGAGTCTTTAACCTGGACAGGCACTAATAGCAGGGGCTGCCTCTCCTAGCAGCCTTCCTTAGAAAGCTGTGTGTGTCAAAGAGTAATTGGACCTTAACCAACCCAATTTCAGAGCATTTCTGCTCCTCCACTCTCCTATTACTCTGGAGAGCTGGGAGGAGCGAGCGGTGGGCATGCCCCTTCTCCAACTTTTATTGCTGAACACTTGAGTGGAGGTGGTAATTGGAGCAGGTGACATATCTAAGGGGCAGGACAGAGTGCTCCACAAAGCCATCTCTGCAGCTGTCACCTAATTGCCTGAATAACTGGACGATTAATCGACTAATTGGAAGCAGGGCATCGTCTGCATAACAATAAGAAGCCCTTTTGTCAAGCAGATGAAGGCTGGAGAGGGGGGGGAGAGCTGGTCGGTGTGGTGGCTCTCGAGAGATGGAGAGCAGCTCTAATAGACCTCGAAGCTCCTTTCCCCTTTTGGGACTCCTGCCAAAATACACGAAATCTCCCCAAAGGAGAGTGGGGAGGGAAAGCCTGGCCCAGAGCATGTCGAGCATCACCTCTGTGCTGGTGCTTTTTAAAGGCATTAAATTAACACACTGAAGCCAGAAACATCCCAAATCAACACCTGCTTTGGCAAACCTCGATGCTGAACCACTTGGCTCTTTCCTACATGCTTTTTATTGCAAGGCTTCATTTCACCACATCAAAAATGGGGTGGGGGGGTAATCAGCTTTAATTGATACAGGAAAACTTATAAAAGCCTGTAACATCTTCATCAGAGCTGCTCTTGTTTCCCACTGAATAAGGCCTTTTTCAGGCAAGTCACTGGCAACATAAACACTGCTCTGTCTCTTGGTGTGCAGTCACTGGAAGTGTGTCTGGGGTTGCTCGGGACAGAGCAGCCTCAGTCAGGACTGAGGGCAATTAAAATTAAATAGACTTTTAGATCATGAGCAGCAAAGGGGGGAGCTCCCTATTCCAGTTGCACATGTTAGTGGGAGGAGATCTTTTTCTGTCTGACCTCAAATGTTCTGCTGGAGAAAGGGACACCTCACTGCCAGGCCAGACCCTGTGTGTGGTGACCCTGTGTGTGGATGCCAAAACAGCTGGGACCCACCCCCCAAGTGATGGCGTTGGAGGATGCTTCAAACCAGACCACAAGCAAAGGGGACAGCAGGAAGGGGGAACTTGTCTTGGAGGAGCCAGGAGGTGCAGCTTCCACCCACCCAGAAAGCTGTGTCCCCTTAGTGGATGTGCTGCCACCATTTGCCCTCTCAGCATTAGCTTTGCTAACCTACATCAAGCTGGTCTCCCTGGAGGAAGGATTCCCACTCTCCTGACAGTTCAGCAGCCCTTTTCTGTCCCGGTTTTGGGTTGAATTATATTCTTTGAACACAGCAATCTGACTTGTATTCTGGTGAGTTGAACCATTAATAAACCACTAGTGCCCCCAGAGCTGCTGCACCCATTAGTGCAGTCAGACTTTCCATGTCCTCAGCTTTTTCCAAGGGCTGAGTTCTCTGCTGAGAGTAGAAATTCTGAGTCCCTAAAGCCTGACTTGGCACTTGGTACTATTTAATGTTGTCCCGTGTCTTTTACTCTAAGAATAACAGGCTGGCCAGATCCCCTCTGGGCTGGTGATGCCTTCTCCCTTTGCACTGTCATCAAGAGATTTCATTAGTGCTTCCAACTTCCTGGGCTAAGGGTGATACAGTGCTAAATGAGGTTATTAATCCTACACGACTCCAGAATTCCTCAGACAGCAGGCAAGTCACTTGGGCATCCTATAATCAATGCCATAATCTGGTTTTGCCAGAAAATGTTTGCTTTAATGCTTCTTATCTGGAGCCCTTACAGCTCCTGAAGCTGGGACTAATTACCCCTGCAGGGAAGGCGCGTGGTCCCGTGCTGAGGGATGCTCAAGCGAAGGCAGCGGTGGCTGAGAGTGTGGCTGGCTCAGAGCTTCCTCTGCAGAGCAGCAGGGAAAAAAATGCAGGGATTTGGGAGGTCTGGTCACCTAAATCCCACCCATCCCTCCAAAAGCAGGGCTCTAAGGTGCTTTTGAGGATTTTTGTCCTGGTGATCTTCACCCAAAGTGCTCTGGCAAAAACCTCCATGATCTACTTTTCTAAAAGCCACCCATTTCTTGCGCTAAGGAACTCCAGTTCCCTGATAAGCCACCAAATAAGGAAAAACCCCATGTTTTCCTCCTGAGAAAAGGAAAACTGGAGTGGCAGAGGGGAGGCAGAGCGCAGTAGCTGTCTGCCTTTAAAAGCTTGCTCTTACGCAAATCTTTAATTAAACATACTCATAAAACTATAGTGAACCCGTTCATCTAATTAAATGGGGTGAGTAATTTCATTAATTTTTAGCAAACTGCAAGGCTGGTCTCCTGCCCTCCTCCCTTGGAATTCAAAGGCACAAGTTGAACCATTTGAGGGAAATTATCTTCCCGTTTGTGGTTATTTTGTTCCTGGGGCTCAGGACCTGTTTAACTGACCGTAGTTTATACACTCCTAATTAAACAGTAATTCCCCAAGTCCTGTTGCTGTTCTTGATGTTTGCTTGTTTCCCTCTCAAGCTGTCCAACCCCAGGCTGTAACGGCTCAGGACACATCCGTGGGAAGTATGCGAGACACAGAAGGTGAGGCTGCACTGGAGGTAGTGGAGTGGAAAAATGTGAGCAAGAAACCCAAACACAGAGGTTCACTGGAGAAAATCTGATTTAGAGCAGCAACTCGACTTGTCTGTCCCAAACGTGCTCAACAGAGAGCTGGTTTCTGTCTCTCTGTCAGTCCCTAAGGGGTCCTGGGGAGGTCTGTCTCTCCAGGCTGACAGCAGCCTTCCTACAGACCCTAAAACTTGGCAGAAGTACCTGACTCAGGTGCCAGGGGTTGGTGAGAGCTGCTGACAGGCAGAGGTTTTGGTCTGCTTAGTTTCTCTATGGATGGGGAGGGGAATTAAGGACACAGTCTGCCTTTGAGGCCATGCCAGCCTTAACTGATGGTTATCATCACCCTATAATGGCAAAATTGCAGCAGCTGGTGGACATGCCGCAGGGGCCAGTTCTGGTTTCATGATCCTGATGCCCATCACCAACAGTGGGGCTGGGAGATGCTGGTCCTGCTCCCTGGACAACTGCAAGGAAGCTGCATCCCAGCATCTGTGCTCTCCTTTCTGAAAAAAGGTTGATGTAGTTGCACAAAGTCATGATCTGAGAGCAGACCTGGCCACAGAGGGCTAAACCAGCTAAAAATCTGAGCTGCTGGATGGTTTTTTTGGTAGTATTTGTGCATTTGTCCCACTTGCCTTTACCTAAGCAGTTGGGATGAGGTAGCCAGGCCTTTCTCACCTGGCAACGCCTTCTCTCTGCTCCTTGGTCCCACCTGCAGTTTACAAAGCTGCCCTCTTGCAAAGAAGAGGAAACTTCAGGACGCGGAGGCCGAACATCTGGTGTCGAAGAGGAAATCCCATCCGCTCAAACTGGCCTTGGATGAAGGCTACAACGTCGACAGCGACGGCAGCGAGGAGGCCGAGGCGAAGGAGGAGTCTGGCTCCGATGAGTCGGAGGGGGTGCTGGAGGAGGACGAGGCGGAGGCGATGGAGCAGGAGGAGACCCGCAGCCCCGAGCAGGCAGAAGGTGCTTTATCATTATTGATTGCAGAGCTGTGTTCTGCAGATGAAGAAAGGGCAGGGAGTGTTAACAACCAGGAGTTATAGCTCCTCTGAATTATGTACAGGATGGGTCCTTCAATTATGGCACTGGGTGGAAGCACCACAGCAAAGCTCTGCTTAAGCTGAGAGGGGACACGCACTGATTGTCTCCAGTGTCTTAAAAATGAGAGCTTTTTCATCAGGGATGCTCCTTGAGGAAAGACACATGGAAAGCAGAGAGGAACTTGCTGCATGGCTCAGATGGTAGCGGGGAAGGCAGCAGGGGTCCCACACTGGTGCTGTGAGGGGCTCAGCAGGAGTCATGCCCCTGGAGTGACCAGCAAAGGAGATGGGTCTTCAGCCGGGGGCCTGACACTGTCTTGCTCACTGTTTTGAAGTCCCAGTCTGGGGAGCACTGGGAGCAGGGGGAAGAGATGGCTGCTGATGGGGAGTGGGGGTGTGAGAGGGTAGGGAGAGCTGGGAACATGGTGAATCTGAACCCCATGAGAGCTCCTATGTGGAAATCCCCTTCCTACCTGCCATCCTCAAATGCAATAAAATTAGGCCCCTCCAGGGGTAGAACTGCCAGGCTCTGGTTTCAGCTAAGTTTAAATACAAAAAAAGAAATGTTTATGAGCTTACATAATTACTTTCATTTCCTCCTCTCTTTTCCCCTTTTTTACCGCCCTTTCTTCTTCCCCCCTTTCCTCTTCCCCCCTTTTCTCTCATTCCCTCTTTCCTCTCTTCTCCCCTTTCCTCTTTTCTCCTCTGTTTTGTTCTCTTCCTTCTTTTCCCCACTTCCTTATTTTCCTCCTTTTTTTTGTTATTTTCTTTCTTTCTTTCTCACTTTTTTCTTTCTATACCTTCTTTCCACAACACCACCCCCTCCCCCTCAGAGAGAAGCCCAGCAAAATCAACTCATTATGGACAAAACACAGCGTCAAGTACATCTGGGCCCAGCAAGGCCAACTACAGCAGCTACCAAGAAATAATCGCCAACTCCCTGCTGAACCTGGGCCAAATAGCGGAGGAAACCCTCGCCATCGAGGGGCAGCTGCCCGAGGCGGAGCTGCAGGTGTCCAAACCGCCATCCAACGTTGTGCATTTGGTCCACGAGGACGCGGGAGAGGAGCTGGTGGAAGAGGAGTGCGACAAGGAGATCATCATCCAGACGGAGGATGCGGAGGAGGTCATCGAGGTCACCAGCGAGCGCAGCAGCGAGTTGTGCCCGGAGCACCGGGACGATGCTGCCTGCGAGGAGTCCTGTAAACTGGAAAAGGCTGAGGCAGAGGAGGAGGATGAGGAGGAGGAGGAGGAGGATGATGATGAGGAGGAAGAGGAGGAGGAGGATGACGAGGAGGAGGAAGAAGAGGAAGAAGATGAGGATGAAGAGGAGGAGGAGATGGCTCCTGAAGTGATCTGCGAAGAAGCTCCTCACACGTCTCAGGACACGCAGAAAAGCCACTGTGAAGGGCAGTTCAGCCCAAAACCCGAGTACTCAGTCATCGTGGAGGTCCGGTCGGACGATGACAAGGACGACGATGCCCGGTCCCAAAAATCAGCCGTGACCGACGAGTCGGAGATGTACGACATGATGACGAGGGGGAACCTGGGGCTGCTGGAACAAGCCATCGCGCTGAAAGCCGAGCAGGTGAAAATCGTACGGGAGCCCAGCCGGCTGCCGGGAGAACACGTAAAGCACTTCCAGGTGGATGACAAACAGAGCAAACCACTGGATGGCATCCGAAAGAGCTACTACGGCAAAGGTACAGGGACAAGCCTCTCCTTCCTTTCTCAGTAAAAGAGATGAACTTGTCTGCTCAGCACCCTCTGATAATTAGGCTGATGGTGGGGGCAGCTCGCAGCCCACTGGGAGAATTTAGCCACAAACCCTCAAAGCCCAAAGGGATGGGGACATCCAAGAGGTCAACAGTGAATGCACAAAATGATGATGTGCCCTACATCATCCTTCCTCTCAGCAGAGGAATTGCTTGTCTAAATTGTCCATTGGCCTTGGAAATCTGAGTCTGAGCTGCAGGGCTGGTTTAAAATCCAAGAGGGTTTTTAAGTAGTGGTAGGACTCTGGCCACAGGAACACGAGGGGCAGGGTCTTTGGCATCCTCTGGCACTGAGCTGGCTGCCTATGAGCTGCTTCATGCTCCAAACTGGGTTTGTTGCTCAAATTACTTTGCCGATTAAAATTTTTGAAACCTCCTGTGTTACAATTCCACCTTCAGGAAAAAAAAAACACCTTCAAACCCAAAGGTTTCTCCCTGTTTGACTGCAAAAGTGGTGGGGAAGCACCCTCAGCAGTTTTTTGTCTCCTTTCCACCTCTTGCCCTCCAAATCCTCTAACCTGCTCCCCCACCACCCTTTCCCCACAATCCTTAGATCCTTCGAGACCTGAGAAGCGAGAAATCAAATGTCCAACTCCTGGCTGTGATGGGACCGGCCACGTCACAGGGCTCTACCCTCACCACCGCAGCCTCTCCGGCTGCCCGCACAAAGACAGGATCCCCCCCGAGAGTGAGTACATGGTGGGATAACAAGGGCTGCTTAAATCAGTCTGAGGCCTTATTTCCTGGTGGGAATGTCACACCTGATGGGTAGCGCTGCCTCAAAGCTCTCCAAATAAACTCCCAAATGGTGGGAGTTTTATGGCTGAGCCTCTAGCACAAGCCTGATGTTATTCCTTGGAGTATAACAGTTTTTGGGAGGGGATGGTGCTTTTCCAAGTTGATGCTGGGTGCTGCTATCCACCAAAGTGTTATTGCTACTCACAGGAAACGGGGTGGAGATTTGCTTGGAAGTCCTGCCCTTCTTAAAGATTTTTAGCACCATCCTGTGGAGAACGAGGTCCCTTCTCCGAAAATCAAAGAGGGGCTTTAAAAATGCCTGCCCACCTCCAGAGGTGTGTTAAGCAGTGCCCATCTTTACACTGAAAGTCACATGTTTTTCCCTATATGGGATATCATGTTGAGAAGAAGGGGATACTGTTCTTCCTTGCCGTCCAAATATGTTGACGTGCAGGAAAGGAGAGAAGTCATTCAAGATGTACAGGATAGCTGAGTCTCCTTCTGTGCTCTCATCACTGTAAAATTCACAAGGTGCTATACCAAGATTCACCTGTTCTACAGAAAATATTTATCTTCATCATAGCAGATTTTTGTATATGCATAGAGAGATATTTTATTTCTGCCTCTCTACCAGCATCCTAAATAGCTTTCCCTGCACAGATACATAAAAATCAAGGTTGTGTGTTTATGATAATGGCATAATAGACAAAAAAAAAAAAAGGAGCCCTTCCTTATCAGTAATTTCAAAGGTTGCAGACCTGCCATAAACACAGAACTTGCAGGAAACAAGGGGAAAGTACAGCTATCTTCACAGGCTGCAATGCAAGAAAAAATATTAATAAACAACAAACACAAGCTGTGTGCTTTACAAAGCTTGCAGATCAAATTATTTTCTTTACTTCTAAGGTCAGCGCTGCAGGAAGCAATAATCCTGAAGATTAAAATTAAAAAAAAAAAAATCTAACAAAGACCAGTCCTAAGGATAAAAGCAGAGATACAACTTCAATCACTTAAAACTACCTGAAATGGGGAGAACTGGTTGCAAAACACGGGGGGGCAGGAGGGGCTAGATGGGGGAAACTGGATTGCAATCAGTAAATGAGGAGAAAGCCCAGACTGTGTGCAGAGATGCTAATCTAGTGCTGACCTGAGCACTGCTGGCTTGTAAATCTTTTTTTTTTTTTCCCTCTGCAAATTCTAATTACAGCATTTCACGTTCCCTGATTTCTAGGAAACCAGCGTACAAGACTTGATGATTTTGTCTTTTTTTTTTTTTTTTCTTCTCTCTGATTTTTATTAAGTTGTTTTTGTTTCCCTTCCCCTCTCCCCTTCCCCTTCTTGCTCCGAAGTCTTGGCGATGCACGAGAACGTGTTGAAATGCCCCACCCCAGGCTGCACAGGACAGGGTCACGTCAACAGCAACCGCAACACGCACAGGAGGTACCGGCTTTGGCTTCTTCTTACAAGGGCACAGTGACAGGACAAGAGGGAATGGTTTCCCCCTGCCAGAGCACAGGGTTAGATTGGATATTAGGAAGAAATTCTTCCCTGTGAGAGTGGGGAGGCCCTGGCACAGGTTGGCCAGAGAACCTGTGGCTGCCTCATCGCTGGAAGTGTCCAAGACCAGGTTGGACAGGGCCTGGAGCAACCTGGGCTAGTGGAAGGTGCCTCTTCCCATGGCCAGGGGTTGGAACTAGGAGAGCTTTAAGATCCTTTCCAAACCAAACCTTTCTACAGTTCATGATTCTGTGTTAATGTGACTGCAGGTGCAAGGTGAGTTTGTCTCATTACTTGTTGTGAAAGAAGCAAACATGTTTCTCATGGGCTTAGTGTAGCTCTGGGTCCCTGAAATGCAGGATTTCGTGTTCATTCCTCATGCTTGGTTTCCTGTTCTCTTTTTTTTATCTTCTTTCAAAAAAACCTCCAAAACCAACCCAAACCCAACTCCCACAGTTTATCTGGGTGCCCCATTGCTGCTGCTGAAAAATTAGCCAAATCACACGAAAAGCAACAAACCCAGTCTGGTGATCCTTCGAAGACCAGCTCCAATTCTGACCGAATACTCAGGTAAGCAGGACAGCCAAGCCCAGCACCGCTGCCCCCACCCTCCCTGCCAGGCCACGCTCCCAGGAGCAGCCGCCACGGCTCCCTCCAGCTGTATCTTGATATTGCTGAGTCCTGTTATTACGATCATAGGTCTCGCCAAGGTGGGGAGGTATTTAATTGATGGTCCCAGGGAGAGCATTGAGGACAATGAATTGCTTCTGTAGCATCAATTAATGCTGAGGCTACAGGCCAAAGGGTTTTACCAGTGCAGCAGAAGGCACTTGTGCCGATTGCTCTGCAGCACAAACTGCCAGCCAGTGATGGCTATTATATTAGCATTATAAGTAGGGTGGACTCAGGGAGGGGGAGGAGGAGATTTAGGCTACATACAAATCACTCCATGGCAGTTGCGTGTAAGTCCACCTGCTTTTCTTCCTTAGTTCAGCGGAGAAGAACCTACCACTCATTCCCAAACCAATCACATTTATTTTGATATTTCGCCCATCTCTATCTTCCCAGGAGAAAGGGCTGCCTCACATTAAGGATGTCCCTGATAGATGCTGGCTTCCGTAGCTGATGTGATTCATGAGGCTACAGATGGATTGTAATATGGTTAGTTATTTTGCAGCGAGAGCAGGATAAAAACCGCAGTGCGAGCCCCGAGCAGCACTCCCACAAAGGCATCGAGCCCTGATTAATTTATTTATTTGCTCCCCAGGACTGCTGAGCACCCTGGTGCACCAGCACTCGGTGCTTTGGAAAGGCCATTTAGGGCGATTACTTATTTATTTGCAGCGGAGCCTGCACTGGGCGCAGAGCGCTCTGAGCGCATCACGAGGACAGTCCATGCTCCAAGGAGCTCCCGCTCTGAGGACTCACTGGTGGAAAGAGGTCACGGGAAGGAGAATAACAATAGGCCATTTATATACAATTTATATGCAAGACAAATTGATTCATGATAGGCAGCCCCGCCGAAGCGGGTCTCCAGGAGGGACTGCAGGCAGGGGAGAGGCCCTGGTGTGTCTGCAGCGAACCTGCAGTGGGGAGTGGAGCTGCACTGGGGTCCTCAGGCCTTTGTGTGCCACCCTGTGTCATGGGTCCCATGTGAGTGAGTTGTACCCATTCCTGTGCTGTGTTGGAAAATGCTGCCACGCCAGCAGCTGGCAGGAACGTTGTTTTGGATGAGATTGACACCTCGATGTTTTGCTTAAAAAAGAGGGGAAAAAAAGGCTCAAAGGGGATGAAAAAATAAAAATGGAATCAAAGAGATCCAAACCAGATGCAGACTTGCTGAGGGAGAGCAAAAGGGCTGTGGCTGCCTCCTCATGCCCAGGAAGCCAGGTGCAGCTTAGGAACAAGGTGCAGCTACACATCCCCACTGCCTCTGGTCCCCTCCCAACAGTCACCTCGCCAAGGAAAAGAGAAATAATTGCTGCTCATTGTTTCACCCTCAGGCCTATGTGCTTTGTGAAGCAACTGGAGATCCCTCAGTATGGAAGCTACCGGCCCAACATGGTCCCAGCAACCCCACGGGCCAACCTGGCCAAGGAGCTGGAGAAGTACTCCAAGGTCACCTTCGATTATGCAAGTTTTGATGCTCAGGTTTTTGGCAAACGCATGCTTGCCCCAAAGATTCAGACTAGCGAAACCTCACCTAAAGCCTTTAAATGTAAGTTGGGAGCAGGGATGGGCTGGGTTTCTGTGTTTTCTGCCTTTGTCAGCATGTTGTGAGGCTCTTGGGATTGTGGCTTTGGGGTGGTGGGAGAGGCTTGGGGATGAACTGCTGAATCCCTTTTGGGATGGGGAGGCTGAGCGGGGTCCCAAGGTGGGCACCTCTGATGGTGAGAGGAGCCCATGGTCGCTGGTAAAGCTGTGCTTGGAGGAGAGTTGCTTTGGCCTCAGCTTTTGGAAGAACTGTGGTGTGAACATTAATCTGAGTGATGTCTCGAGGTGGGAGAAGTTACACAGCTGTCCTCAGTTGGTCCCCATTGCTCTGCAGCTCGTATCTATTGATCTGTCTTTCCTCATCTAGCTAAATGGATTACAGTTTTCTTCTCTTCCATCTTATATATGACCCATTCCACCCATTTGTCTTTCCTGCCGTGCTCTGCTCTCCAGCTCTGCTACCTATCGATCACCCACCTCTATCTTCCAGCTTTCTCCTGTCGTAGCCACCCACTTCTGCTCTGTTCTGAGGACCTTGCTCTGGTTATAACACTGTGGGTGAAAATGGATAAATAAACCCTGAGGGGATGGGCTGCTGGGGACAGGAGAGATGCTGAATAGAGGGGCAGCCTATTGCAAACGTGTTAAACCTCCTCCTTCCCTTTGACACCAGCCATGCACCTGAAGATATCTTTTTGAGGAGGGGAAAAAAAAAAAAAAAAAAAGAAAAGAGATTTAGGAGCCCAGTTTGCAGAAGTCAGCAGCCTCGAGAGGGCTTTCTGTCTGGCTAATCCCACTTCCACAATCCTGTTTAATCCTGATGCAGCTGCTCTCTAAAAAAGTGCTCGTACTTGAAAGCATCCTGGTTGTTGCACTACAATGGGAGCACCCTTTATTACAGTACTAAATCTGTACAGGATCAGACAATGAAATTGGATGGAGGCCAGAGAGCACAACTGCCACTGTCATCCTGGGTTAGGGCTGATGGAAAAGTAATTTGTTTCCCAGCACAAGTGATTCTCTCATTGAATAGATTGTGTTATTTGCAATATTAGCAAAGAATTTTCAGGGTAATTGTACTGACAAAAATAATTCCAGCAGACCCACTAGGATAATCCTTTCTATTTTTTCTCATCACTTATTTCACTAATTTGCTGATTGCGAGTCTATTAGTGGTAGAAATACTTATGAAATGGAAAAGCATGGCTGAGCCTACGGTGTGAAATTGAAATTGGCATCTCCCGATCCTGGATGCTGTCAGGTTGGGCGGGCGGATACCCACACCCCACCGCAAAGACGTGGATTAAACCGGACGGGAAAACAAGCAGCCAGACACAAGAATAACCACTTGGGCAAACCTCCAATGAGTTAATCAAAGCGACAGGATGAATATGATTGCCAATCATAGCAGGGAAATCTGCTCCTTTCACTGAGAACTTATTTTAAAGAGATCTTCATCCAGAGGGATTTATATTCCCCTGCATGTGTGTGCATAACTCCCATTAATGTCAATATGCATTATATACACACGCAACGAGGAAGAAAGCAGTGCTGGGGAAGATTAGTATTTTATAGTGCCTTATATTACAAGTTCATAATGGGAATAATGAAATCACTTTGCTCCATGGCTGCATCAACAGAGGTTGTCTTTGCTTTGCCATCATCAGGCCAAAGCTTAGGAGTCTTCCCTGGGTGAGACTCCCACTAAAAGGGGGATGGCTTCCCCCAGATAGGGCACAGTAGAATGAATTCAGAATTTGAAGATTTTGGTAACTGATTCAGAATGTAATCCTGTGACTGTTCTAAATCAACTGATCCCCTGTTTGCACCCACTGAAACAGCTGACTTAGAGGGACCCTGTGTGGGTCAGGTCCCCCCCTAAATGGGACCAGGTTCAAGTTTTATTAATAGGAAATCATTGTTTATTATTAGGGAAAGCTTTATTGTGCATTCACCCTGAGAAATACTTGCTTTCATTTCACAGGGTGTGAAGAGAAATTGCATTTCCAGGTTGGCACTGCTGTGACATACAGTAACAGAGTGGCAGCTGTATAATAAATCCAGTTATTCAGGCATATTTAAATGATATGTCAGCTGTCAGGAAATCCATATTTCACTGGCGTTATCTTTGGAAGCTCATATTTTATGACTGTAGTTTTTCTAATAATGTAATTTTTTAAATTTTAAGTTTTCAAGCGTGCTACTAGAGATGTCCCCGTAAGGCAGCTCTGCAGATAAGTTGTGGACACACAGAGGACAATAAAAAAAGAGCCAGGAAGCTTCTCAAGGCCTTCTCCTTTAGCTTCTTCCACTGAGGAGTAGCTCTAATGAAGAAAAGCACTTGTGTTTTGGGTATTGATGGCAGAGTCACTTAAGGAATTAACCTTTCACACCAAGAGACCATTGCACAAGCTGCAGCCAGCATTGCTCCTGTTGCACTTCTCAGGCAACAAACCAGCCCCTGGATTGGGAATAACCCCAGGAACTGTGAATACATTAGCTGTGTCAAACCAGCTCAACCTCTCGCTGCTGCCCATGCCGGTTACACATCACCCTTGTGTTGTTCCTTCTCTTTTTATTCCAGCCAAACCTTTTCCAAAGGCCTCTTCCCCCAGCCACAGCCCCTCCAGCAGTTACGTGAAGAGCACTTCATCTTCCTCCACAGGCTTCGACTACTCCCACGACGCTGAGGCTGCGCACATGGCTGCCACTGCCATCCTCAACCTCTCCACCCGCTGCTGGGAGATGCCTGAGAATCTCAGCACCAAGCAGCAAGAGGTCCCCGGCAAGGTGGGTGCATGTGCCAGGGCACCACTGCCCAGGGGCCAGACTTGAAGTCTGGGGTGGGAGGAGTACCTTGGTTTACCCTTCCTCCCATTTTAGTTTTTACATGTAGAGGGGATGCAGGCACTCATCACAAATCACCCTTTCGCTCCCTGGTTTGGGGGATGCAGTTTGGAGCAGGTTGATCTTGGCTCTTGGTGTGCTACGGAGATGCGTCATGATTCAAATTACCCGTGGGAGATGAGCAGCGTTGCCAAACCAGATCTCAAGTTTAGACTGGATATTAGAAAAAATTGATTCATTAGAACAGTGGTCAAGCCCTGGAACAGGCTGTCCAGGGCAGCGGTGGAGTCACCATCCCTGGAGGGATGTAAGTGCCACATGTAGATGTGGCACCTGGGGACATGGCTTAGTGTGTCCTTGGCTGTGCTGGGTGAATGTTTGGACTCAATGACCTTAGAGGGCTTTTCCAACCCAAACAATTCTGTGATTCTCAGAGCTGGTTTCAGTTGCTCACTGATCTCTATCTGATGCCACTTGAGAATCCCTAGTTGCATCCAGACTGATTTCCAGCTATTTTTCAAGGGAACACAGGTTTTCCAGAAGTCCTGTGGAGCACAACGAGCCTTGGGCAGATGTTTTGGATCCCACAGGGCATCTTAAGTGGCACTAGATACCTGTGTTAATCAAGTGGGTCAAAATGCCACATGGGGTGCATTTTCGAGCATCCCTTTTCATTCAGTTCCTTATAAATGATTGTGGAGAGGACGGGACATGAAAACCTGCCCTCTGCACTGCAAAAGACAAATGGGGGCAAGATCTCCACAGGGAGTCGCTGGCAGCTGCTAACATGGGACATGTTTTCAACCTTTCAGTCCATGGACATTGAGGTGGATGAAAATGGGACTCTGGACTTGAGTATGAACAAGCACCGCAAACGGGAGAGCACCTTTCCCAGCAGCAGCAGCTGCAGCAGCAGTCCCAGCATGAAGTCCCCAGACGTGTCACAGCGCCAAAACAGCACCAGTGCCACGAGCAGCACCATGACCTCCCCCCAGTCCAGCCAGACCTCCCGCCAGGACGAATGGGATGGGCCCATTGACTACACTAAACCAAACCGTCAGCGGGAAGAGGAGCCAGAAGAGGTGAGAAGTGACTCTTCATGCTTGAATCTCCCTCATGGGTGATTGAATGCCACGTCTGCTTGCACAGTTATCCTGTTCTTTTCACCCTCTCCACAACTAGTTTGTCCTTTTACCACCACTACAACCACTGTTCCTGGATCTTTTCTTGCAGTCAGAACCTGCCGCTCACTCTTTTGCCTCATCGGAAGCTGATGAGCAAGAAGTGTCAGAGGAAAACTTTGAAGAGCGAAAATACCCAGGGGAAGTTACTTTAACCAACTTCAAGCTGAAATTCCTCTCCAAGGACATCAAGAAAGAGCTGCTCACGTAAGTCCTCCTTCTTGTCTCTTCCTCCAAAATCTACTAAATATGTACCTAGCACAGCCAGACTGGTAGGAGACAAAATTTGTTAGTAAATAATTTCAAAAATTAGAACTGTACTTCCTTTCTTACTGTGGTTTGCCTTAGCTCATCTGAGGGTTCAAATGAAAGCTCAGAAGAAACCCCACCCTCATACAATAGCTGGTCAATGAGGCAGAATACCTTCCTATATGGCCTTACTCTGCAGTGATAAAAAGAACCTATTAGGGAGCTTGGTGCTCTCAGGATTCATGGACAGGGTTGAGGAAAACCCCTTTCTTTTCCTCAGTGTTTCCTGCAAGACTGTTTCTGGCACAGTGAAGGAACCTGCCCAATCTCCTGAGCCTTTGTTCTAGGGCACTGGGTGATGCTGTGGAGCCAAGAGCACCCAAGGAATCTCAGCACCTTCTTGATGGGGTTGTTGAACCACAAGATGTCTCATTGAGAAGACAGGATTTGTTGGCTTAGAGCAGTGGGTCCCAGCACTGTGATACTCCAGGGTCACAAAATGTGACCTGGGGCTGCAGCAAAACTGCTGTCAGGCTGCATTTTGGCATTGGAGAGAGACCCTGACCCAGCTCACATCTGTCTATTCACTGGCTGGGTGGAAGCACAGACCCAGATCTGTGCTATTAGATGGAGTATTGCTCTGCATCCACGCTGATTCCCACAGGAATGATTAATGTTCAAGAGTCTGATCCAAACATGGCAGCTTGGACCTCGCTCTGACCTAATGGCATGTTGGGATCAGACTGGAGGTTGTGGTGGGGAGGTCTCCCCTCCCAGGCATCCCAGCTGTTCTTGGCTGCTTTCCTGTGCCTCTGACCCCCCTGTATGTTAAATAGGGGAGAGCTGATGGGCACTGTTTTCTTGACCTTATACAGCTCGCTCATTATTTGGCTTCTGCAGGCAGGAGGCTGAGGGAGCAGACAGGCAGGGATGAGATCTGTGGGGGCAGAGAAGCAGCAGCATCTTCTCTAAATGAGCAAAGCACAGACCAGCTGCCCTCATCCAAAGCTCTAAAGGCTTTTTAAACCCAGCAGCACCGTGAATAGCAATTTCTGAGGTAGAGCCCTGGAGTCCTCCTGTGCTTTAATTTTATTGTGATGGTGCAGAAATTTCCTGAATGGAAACAACCCTGGAATAAACAAATGGTGTCATGGGCAGTGCTGAGGCTTCCCTCCCAGTTTAGCATCCTTTCTGGTCCAAAGACTGTGATGAATTAGCTGTAGTTAACTCAAGAGCAGACTTGCCTGCTGTGTCTGATGCTCCATGTCTGGATGTAGCTCTTGTGCCACTTCCAGGCACAGATGGCAGGGAAGGTGCTCCTCACCTGTATCTTCCCATTGCCCTCCTGTTGGCACAGGAGTGGGAACCACACAGCCAGACATCCCTGCTGCTTGAACATCACCACATCCGTGCTGATGAGGGATGAGCAGGGAATAGGTGCCTCCAAGCCTCAACCTGCTGGGCCAGACTGTCCCGAGGTATCCCTGCAGTGTCCCAGGACATCCCTGCTTTGTCATATACCCTTGTCTTAGGGCAGGAGGGCATGACTGTGCCAGAGCCTTGCTGCTCATGCACAAACTGGATTTTGTTTCCTGGACATGGAGAAGGGAGAGCATCTTCTTCCATCGCCCATGCAAGTACAATTCACAGAGGAGGCAGTGAAGAGGGATGGATGGGAGGTACAGCCAGTGAAGGCAGTGGGTGGGATGCAGCAGCTCCTTCCTGCCCTCTGTTTGGAGCCTCCAAGCACACAGTCACAGGCTACTTTCATTCCCTCTCTGCAGTGAAAAGTGTTTTCAAGCTTTTCTTTGCAGCTAAAAGGGCTGGCAGAAAAAAACCCAAATCATTTCAGAAAGCTGAAATCTGAAGCACCTCATTCAGCTCTGAAATCTGAACAAGATGATTCCTGCAGCAAGAGCTTCAGTACTGCAGGAATCATCCAACCTGGCAGCACCAGCCAGGGGTGTTCATACCTGTCAGGTCATGCCACCCAGCAGGCTGCTGTCAGTCCCCCACTGCCACCAGGCACTCCAAGCAACTAAGGATTTTAAACACTTTCTTCTCATTTACCACACATTTTTGCAAATTTAAATTTTTTTCTAACAGGATCCTTGGGATTTCTTTGGTAACAGAGAAGGGGGGAAAGGGAGCTGAAGGGAAAATGTCTGGTTTCTATCCATGCAAACATAGAAACACACATGAGACCTGCTGGAGCTGGTGTAAGGGGTCTGGCAGTGAGGCTGGGCTGAGATCCACATGATAGACCTCAAGGGGGCTCAGCTGGCTTTGCCCATCTGGGGTTCATGTGGAATCCATTCCTTTCCCACATTTATGATCCCTCTTGTTGTTGTTGTTGCCCAGTTGCCCAACCCCAGGCTGTGACGGCAGTGGACACATAACGGGAAACTATGCCTCTCACCGCAGGTGGGTTGACCTTTTATTCGTGGTTTGAGCTCTAAAGACAATGTTTTTTTTTTCTTTTAGTATATTTTTTGACCATATGGATAGTTTGGTTCTGTTTCCTCCCCCTTTCTGTTGCCCTTCTCCCTCCCCACGCCCCAGCCCTTTTTTCTTTTTTCTTTCTCCTTTTTTTTTTTTTTTTTTGCTTATCCAGATATTCCATCTCTTCTCTTTCAGCCTTTCTGGTTGTCCTCTTGCTGACAAGAGCCTCAGAAACCTCATGGCTGCCCACTCTGCTGACCTCAAGTATGTTTGCGCTCAACTTGGAACTCCTTTTTTTTCTTTGTTTCCACCCTTTTTTCTCTCTTCTCCCTTCCTGCCCCTGCTCCTCTTGCTCTGCTTTTGCTTTTCCATCCCCTCCCTTCTCCTTTCAAAGAGCTGATCAAAACCTGCCTGCAAGGAGCTCTGGTGGAGTCCAGCTTCCAGCTGCCACGTTGAATGAAGAGGCAATGGCATGAAGGAAGGCTTATTTTGGGGAATGGGGCTCATGGCAGTGATTGGAAATAACCTGAGTGCCTGGAAGGTTTCCTCTGGGCACTGAAGACATGCTATTTTCTTTTCCCAAGCTCTTGTTCCCTAGTTTGAGCCATAACCCTTTTCATGTAACATTTCTGTACATCTCAAATAATCCAAAACCTGGAGAAAGGCTCACACTTTATTTCTGGGAACTAAAATGTGCTTTGTCCTGAATGCAATCAAGGATTTTTGAAGCCATAGGTGGGTCAGGGGTCACAAAGATGATTGATAAAGTCCCAAATTCCTCTGTGATGGCCTGGAGGGCAGCGTGGCTCTGGGACTGCTCTGTGCCCCACCACCCACGTGGGTGCTGGTACCAGGAAAAGTGTTTGTTCAATGCCTGCTCCTCATCACAGAGGTGGAAAAAGTGGCAGGATTAGTTGATATTATTAGAATATGCTGGTGGATGGAAAGGACTGGCGTGATTAGTGCTAAGTACACTTAATCATGCATTATAAACTATATACATTTTGAAAGAACCTCTTCAGAGAATCTTGCTGAACTGGTGTTTCTCCAACAGCCTTAAAGAATAGCTAAGTGATCAGAAAATTAGTGCTAAAGATACTAAAAGCTCTGAGGAGCAGTGCCCATTTCCAGTAAGGACCAGACAAAAAGCAAACGGGGTTGTACCTGAGATCAAAAAGCTTTGCTGTGCAGGATCCCCTGCTCCCCTCAGGCATCCAGTGTCAGTGCTTTTTACCAAAATACTGCATAAAACAGACTTCTGGACACAAAAAAACCAAACAAACAAAAAAACCAAAAAAACCCCCACAAACAAACAAACAAAAAAAGCTTTTTTAATATTTTTTCTCCAATACTCTTTTTTTTTCCTATGTCCTGGTGAGGATGGGAGCAGAGGAGGGAGGAAGAGAAGAGGATTTGGAGATATTACAGATTGCACAGTCATAGCTTTTCACAACTCCAGATAAGACTATGTCAGTGCTTCTATTATAAATTCTATTTCAGGGGTTAATATCCCTGATATAAAAAAAACCAGCTCCAGGCTGGAACATGCAATAAAAGGTCTCTGTTGGTATGATTTGTCTCCAGATAATTAAAAATAAAAATCAAATTACTTCTCTCCTCTCTTTGAGAGTCCTGAAAGGCAGAAAGAGTTTGGTGTTAGTGTTTTCATAATTTCCTCCCACCCTGAAGCTAGAACAACAAAGAAATAGTTTTGCTTTCTACTTTGACAGTGTATAGCAGAGAAATGTCACAGTCATCTCCCAAACCTGTAATTTCTAAATGAGTTGAAGCATTTGCACCCTTGTTGAGGTTCTGCTGGATGTATCACTGCTCTTACTGGCCTGAATCTCTGTGCATTTATGTTTTCCTGCATCTGAGCAGGCTGAGCCTTGGTCCTGACTTATCTCCCTGACACCCTTCTGGGATCAGGATGTGTCCCTGCACATCCTGATCTGAGGTGAGGTGACAATTTTTTTTGCCAACACAGACTATTCAGTGACCTGTAAATGCCAAACTCTCCCACTGAGTTTGTGCAAAGAGGAGAATTTTGATATTTTCTGGTCAAAAAAGGAGGACTTTTTGAGAGGCTGTTTTCCAAGCTGCCAGACAAAAGACAGTTGTGGAAATCACTGCTCTACTGACTGTCAGAGGCCAGAGCACCCCAACTATACCATTGTCCAGGCCAGGCACCAGCACAGAACCACAGAATAGTTTGGTGTGGAAGGGACATTTAAAGGCCATCTTCAACTAAATCTGGCTGCTCAGAGCCCTGTCCAACCTGGCCTTGGACACTTCCAGGGATGGGGCATCCACCACCTCCCTGGGCAACCTTTGGGAAAGTATATTGCCTTTCCCAAGGGCACTGACCTCAGGGGCTGCCTGTACACCACTGGCATGTCCCGGACACACATCAGTCCCTGCTCTGGGGCAGGTACCTGCCAGTGGTCCAAACCAGGCACTGGTGGCTTTAAAAATAGGGATCGAGGAAGGCAGGACACAGCAAAACCCTTCCCCGAGGAGGATGGGCACTCTGCAAGCTCGTGGATGTGCCCCGAGCTTTGGTCGCAAGGACCAGCTGAGCATCTCCCCCTCGTCCTGCGGCAGCACCGTGGATTTCCTCCTCTTCCCACCCCTCCCCCGGTCCTAATCACTTGACTGAAAAAGCCCTGGCTAATTGGCAGGCTGGCGTGCACATCCTCTGCGAACACTCCTCGCCTCTCTTCCTTGTCCCCATGACAACTTTTATGTCCGCCGCGTCACCTACAGCATTCGGAAGAGATCTTTGTGCTCGCGGTACTTCACATCCCCTCACCGCCCTTGCTCTGAGCCCTTAACCATGCGGTGCTTAACTCGTGCCATTGTCTTCGCTGCCGCTCGGCGGGCTCGCAGCCCCCGCCGGCCTTTGGGCAGGTTTGGGTGGTCACAGGACCGTTCTCCAGGCTTTGCTTTCAGTGCCATCCCAGAGCGCTGGGTGCTCACCTTCAAACTCAGGACCACGGGTGCATCTTCAGAGGTTCCTTTGTAAGGGCATCGACTGAGGACCCAGGGGTAAATTCTGCACCGAAGCACCAAAAGCTGCTGGTGCACTGTGTGTGGTGACCTGGTGATCCCCAGCCCGAGGTCCAGCAGGTGCTGTCACCCTGCAACACCCAGCCTAGAGTGTTGGGGAAGAGGAGAACCCAGGGTTAACCTAGCCTTTTTCCTCCTGTTCCTTCATCATTTTCCATCAGAAGCATTGGCTGGTATCGCACTTTGAGTACCCTCCTGCAACGGGCTATCCATTTGAGACTAGCCACCCCCACCCCCCAAGTCACCCAGACCTGACTTGAGACCATCTTGGTGGTGGCCCTGCTGGTCCCCCCTTGTCCAGGCTATTTTTCCTCATCCCTTGTCTATGCTTGCATCCACCCTGCTGGCCCTGGATGGCACCTGCTGCCTCACCATGGCTTCCTCAAGATGACAGACACTGTCCTGGAGGGTTCTTTTAGCTCATTATCAGCTCCTGAGCTGTCCCCTTCCTGAGGGTGGGGACAGAGGCTGGGACCTGTGTCCCTCCTGGAGAGCAGCCGCTCTCTGTGCTCCCAACACCCGTACCTCTTGCCTCCGATGTTCCTCTCCAACGCCACATCACGCAGCGACACGCTGACTTTGGTGCTGTGGATGTTACAGACCAGACCTTGTTCTTACAGAGGGAGAAGGGGCAGGAAGGAGAAAACCTGCCTGTGGGTTGACAGTGCCCAAGATTTCTCTTTGAAATGAGCTGTCACAGAGTGTCGACCCCCTGCTCGTCCCCCCTGGCTAATCTGAGCCTCCCTTGCCTCCGCAGGTGCCCTACTCCTGGTTGTGATGGCTCTGGTCACATAACAGGAAATTATGCATCGCATAGAAGGTAAGATCTCCCTTAAATTATTTTCTCTGTAGCCTCTTTCTGTGTTGCTTTTTTTTTTTTTTTTTTTTCCCCCTGCAGTGGGCAGAGTTGTAAAGTTCTGAATAAAACATTAATGTTACTGACAACTGAAGCCTATTTTCATCTCTTTAATCTGACTTCTCTTCTTTTTTTTTTTTTTTTTCTGATGTTTCCAGCATCTGATTAGAAACTCCTTTCAACAGCATAAAAGACAAAGGGTCAGATTTTAGCTGATGCAATGTTCCTGTTAATATTGCTACCTATTTATGATTTCTATTATCACTTTAGAACATTAATAGCAGAGATCTGAGCCTTCTGTTTCAACAATTCCATTAAACATTGCAGGCTGTTAGCAGATATCTTCTTATCTAGACACCATTAATTACTGTCCATCTCTCTCAATTTTTTATTATTTTTTTTCTTCTGACTTCTCCTCGTGGTGTGAAGCTGCAAAACGAGGGAGATCAAAAACACAGTGCCAAATTCAAGGGAAAGATGACTGAAGTGGGGGAATAGCAAAGGCAGGGATTCTGCCAGTGAGACAGGCCTTTCTTCTCTTTTTAACCACAGTCTGTCAGGCTGCCCTCGTGCCAAGAAAAGTGGGATCAAGATCACCCCGACAAAGGATGATAAAGAAGACCCAGAGCTGATGAAGTAAGTCTGGGGATAACTCCTGAGTAGAGCTTTTCACTCTGTACCCTTTGCCTCACACAGATTTACGTGGGGGAGCAACATCCCTCCCACATCCCTCCTGGCTCACGCTGCTTTCAGCATCATCTACAAAGCTTTCCCGTTGTTTTTTTTGGTGTTGCAATTTTGAAATTTGATTGAAAAATTGGGTGCTGGGGAGGTGACAGTGTATGTTTTCTTGTTTGTTTCTGCAGATGTGAAAAGTAGGCTGGTAGGGCACGAACAGTTTCTCTGCTACCTGTGCTTTATATAAGTCCAAAAAAACCCTGCCAGTGTTGTAAATGTGGGTAAAGCTCCACAGTCAAGCCAAATCCTGTGGGTTTTCAGGCAGCAAGGGGCAGATGAGGGCTGAGGGGCTTGCTTAACTCTCAGGAACACAGTAAAAATAGGAACTATCCAGCAATGACTTGGGTCAGGATCCAGTAATCCTGAATAAAATATGTTTTGTAGAGTCTTTGCCAGGGCAGAATATTCAAAGTGGACTCAATAAAACCTTTCTCTGCTGCCTCAGGCTGAAGTTTTCAAAATGTCCCAGGAGTTTTATTCCTTCATGGAATAGAGATCTGAAATCCCTTAGTCCACCTCAGGAGTTTTCATGAGCTGTGAAATCCATTCATCCTGACTTTTAGCAAGTCCAAGCATCACAGGCTAAGTGTCCATGGCCTGATGTGGTGTTTGAGGTCAGAGTCTCAACCCTTTATACAGCTATAGGACATCAAAGGCAGCACTGACTCCAGGATCCCCCCTATTTTTTTTGTTAACCCAGAGCATCCCTAGCCATTCTGGAGCCTGTCCACTCACCCAGCAAGTGCAGGTTAAAGCAGGTAAAAAGAAACATGGGGGAAATTATCAACTCCCTCCAAGAGATTCCAGTTATCTGTAAGTGCTGACTTTGGCTCAGCAGACTTTCTCCAAACGGATTTTTTTTTTTTTTTTTACGTATTTTAGCCCCAGGGCTGGTTTTGCCCATGCAGGGTATCAGAGGTGAACACCTCTGTGTGCCCAGGTTTTGTCCTGGAGCAGAGGCTGAGCTGAAGCAGGACCCAGTGGGTGTGGAAGAACCCCGTGGGGGCTGCAGGAAGCTGGGATGCGCCTGCTGGGGCATAAGGACCTTTCAGAAAAAGATGATATTTGAGCCATCTGCTCTGTTCTTCCTCCTCAGTCTACAGGAAGGAAAGCCTCCCAGTTAAATGAGCCGTGTGATAATTAGCAGGAGTTAGCAGAGTTTATTAAAAATTAAGCAACCTACTTGAGAATCTGTGGGAAAAATCCTCTTTTGGCTCAAATACCCTGAATTGCTGGTGGCATTGCAATGCTGGGCCATTAACCAGTGACACAGGGAAGGAAAGGATGGGCAGCAAATTGTTGTTGTGCAACTGCTGGCTGTTGTACCTTTGCTTTCACTGTGGTTGGAGGGGTGCGTGGGAGGTTATCCCTTTCCATGGTTTCCTCAGGGGCACATGCCCTGTGGGGCTGGGGAAGCTGTGGTTTTGCTCATCTGTGCCTTTCCCATTCAGGACAGGACCAGGCAGGAACATGCCAAGCAGTTTCACCAGTGCAGTTTCTCTGCAAAAAACCCACAACTTTCCAGTGCAAGGAGAAAAGAGGCTTTTATATGGCTGTGTTTTTATGGTGCAGCTGGGGCTTGTATAGGAATATGGGATGAGCTGACACCCACAGCAGAATGATGGTCCCACCAGCATCCTCATCAGGGGTTGGGTTCTCTCCCAGTTCACAGTACAGATGAAAATGCTGTGAAGCTAAACTGGCAAGTCATAGAATCCTAGAATAGGTTGGGTTGGAGGGGACCTTAAAGCCCATCTCATCCAACCCCCTGCCACACACAGGGACACCTTCCATTAGACCAGGTGGGACACTTCCATGGGTGGGACATCCGTAGATTCTCTAGGCTCCAAGCTTCAAATGGGGCTGGAACATTGCCAGAACTGGATTTTTTGGCTCCTGGAAAGCTGATGCAGTCCACTCCCAGACTGGTCTTGCTGGGACTGTGGGCACTGGGGCAGGCAGTGCCAGGTGGGATCTGAGGGTCTCTGTGGAGCAGCAGGTGAAGGCATTCCCTAAAATCCCACTGCACAGGCAGTAACCCCAACTCCTCCAGCACACCCAGGAGGAACAGAAGCTCCTCTGAGATGTGCAAAGCGACACAGTACAACAATCCATCTCTGCCATCTTCCCCCATCCCGTGGGAAGGTGTTCCACCACCCACAGCAAGGTGTGCCCAGTGCAGGTTTGCGTTAAGGAGCTTTGGCTCTAAATCCATCCTCCGTCTGCACCGAGCGCCTCTTGGAACCCAGCCGAGTTTTGCACATCACCACCAAGGAGAAAGTCATTTAGTCCCTGTTGTTTTTGCTGTTCATCCTTCAAGTAATTTGCTACAGATGTGATTGAACAGATCACCTCAACCTTCAGCCAAGCCCTGGCATAGAATGGAAGCATCCACAGGTGTCTAATTGATCAAACGCTGCTGGTGCTTCCATTAAATAATAATAATTAACAAAAAAATAATTTAGAAAAATGTCCAGGACAGCTGGTTTGCACAATAAAGCTCTGGTTTATTTTTTAACAATGAAAATGTAATAAAACTTAAATTAACGGCGTAAAATATATAACGGTTGGGCCATAATGGCTGCATACTAAATCCTGGGGTTTGTCTCTTTCTCTCTTTCTCTTTCCTCCCCCCCTTCTCCTTTTCCTCCTGAGGATTCAGTAATTTGCTCGTGATCATATAAAAGCAATGATGTTATGAATTTACTGAGGATCCTGCTGGCAGGGATATTATAAGTGAATTGTGCTGCATTTGCAGCTGATTAAAATCGAGATCAGCATTTTTCAAATTATCTTGGGAAAAGGCTGGGTGTAGAGCCCCCCCCCTTCTGCTGTCATCTCCCTTTTGTGCAGAATGTAAACAATCAGGGTAATAATTTCTGTGGTGAAACGCAGCTTGTGATTTTCAGGAGCAGTTCGGTGGATATTTTTGCGGGGGAGCCTCAAAGTCCCTAATTGCTTCCATACTGAGGATGTGGGGGATTATTTTTGGCATTTCTTACCTACTTCCACCTCCCTTATTTTAGAGTAAGCTCCCCTGAGTAATAAACTTTTAACTGTATTTATAATTGGCGAGCATTTTTAAACAAATGCAAACCACAGCAGAAACCCTGATAGATGCACCAGACTTGTGGGCCAGCTGGATTCAGTGAGAATGCCATTAGGGTGGGGGGGGGTTGGATGAGGAGGGAGGAAAGAGGTGCCTTTTGGAGAGCCACTCGCCTGCTTGCCAACAGCACAAGTTGTGTTGGTGCTTCCACGACGCTCCTCACAGCTCCCGTGGGTTTCAGCCGGCCATAAACAGCAGCAGAAGTGTGGGGGTGGGAGGGCTCATGTGCTGCCTTGATGGTAATTCCCACTTTGTCCCCTTGTGAGCGTGGGTTGATCTTTCCACGGAGGCAGGATGTGAACCAGGAGGAGGAGGAGGAGGAGGAGGAGGAGGAAGAGGCAAGTGAGGTCACACCAGGCTGAGTGATGGCCTAAGGATTTGTCCTGTCTGCTGAGGCTCAGAAGCTCCTCGGACACCCTCCTGGCGGGAGCAGGTTTACAGCTCTTCATGCACAGGTCTCAGCCTGAGCAGCTCCCGGCTCAGGGACTGGCTCAGGGGGAAGGGTTGTGTCCCCATGGGCACAGACAGCGCTCCTAGACTGTGCTGATTGTGCTAGTGTAGGGTGATGAAGTTAATGACCCTGGGTTCCTCCTCAGTACCACCGTGCAGAGCTGGCTGTACACGTGTGATGGTTCAGTGTGAGAGTGTCAGCCTTGCAGTGCCTCAGGATCCCATGTCTTGCAGCCCAAACTGCCGTCTTTGCCCTCAGTGAGGCACCAAACAAATGGTTTTTGACTCCACTGGGACCTGCTTTTGCTGTGTGTGATGTGACCTCCACAGCCTTTCCTTCTGCAGAATTCTCCTTGGTTCTCTTCGGCTCTTTTGAAGGAGCAGTCGTAGCTCTCAATTTCCCATCTGCCATTTCCATCAACTAAGTATCTACCCCATAAACCTGAGATGAGACCCAAACGCAAAAATGCTCTCTTCCAAGGCTTCCCCGCTCCTGCTCTTCCCTAATTTCCCTTTATCCGTTCCTTCCGCTCCCTTCCTGTTTACGGCCGGGCTGTAATTCTTGGTGATTCCCTGTGCCCAGGTGTCCCGTTCCTGGCTGCGTTGGGCTCGGGCACATCAGCGGCAAATACGCCTCTCACCGGAGTGCGTCAGGGTGCCCTCTCGCAGCCCGCAGGCAGAAGGAAGGATCGCTCAATGGCTCCTCGTTTTCCTGGAAGTCGTTGAAGAATGAAGGCCCAACCTGCCCTACCCCAGGCTGTGATGGTTCTGGCCATGCCAACGGGAGCTTCCTCACTCACAGAAGGTAAATCATAGCTGGGGATCAGTGTGAGTGTGACAGCGTTGCTGGGGGCTCACCCACCTCCCTGTAGGTGCTGCTTGAGCACCGTTCAGCCCTTCACGTGGGGCTCAGGAGCTGGTGATTTTGATACTGAGGTCAGTCAGTCCTACTGCACAGAAGAAAGTGTTGTTTTAACATTCACAGAATTACAGAATGGTTTGGGTTGGAAGGGACCTTACAGCTCATCTTGTCCAACCCCCTTGCCACGGGCAGGGACACCTTCCACTAGACCAGGTTGTTCCAAGCCCTGTCCAGCCTGGCCTTGGACACTTTCAGGGATCCAGGGGTAGCCACAGCTTCTCTGGACAACCTGTGCCAGGGCCTTCTCACCCTCACAAGGAAGAATTTGTTCCTAATATCTAATCTAAGTCTCCATTAGCATGTTAGAAAAGCACTTGAGCACCACAAACAGGGGCTTAATGCCCATGTCAGCCAGACTCATCTCACCTTCCTCACCTGGCGTACCCTGTCTTTTAGGAAACAATGTGTTTTCTAATCTTTGCTTAAAGAAAATTGCTCTCACTTTATAAATGGGGAGTTTTGTGGCATTATTCATAAAGCAATTTCCCCTGTGCCATAAAAAGCTTTTAGAAGAACTGTCTCGCAGCGTGAACTCCACCAAATGGCGCGTGCTCTTGTTTGGAACACAAGCACCTATAAATACTGAGAGTTTATGAAACCGATTTTTACTTGTTTTTCAGTTTGTCAGGGTGTCCAAGAGCTACTTTTGCTGGGAAGAAAGGAAAACTCTCAGGGGATGAAATTCTCAACACGAAGTTCAAGACCAGCGACGGTAAGGATTTTCACTCCTTTGTCTTGGAGGTGTGTTGGGGTATTGAGCCTGTAGATCTTTTTCTTTGCAGACTGAGGAGGTTTCAACAGCTGAAATCTGACCACAGGTTTTCAAAGATGTTATGTGCTATGAAAATCCATTCCTTGAGTTTTCTGGATGCTGGGGGTGGTATGGTACCAGGCCCACTCCCTGAGTCACACACTTTGAGGGAGTGATGATAAAGAAGGCAAAAGAATTAATGCTGAAATCGAGATTTTTTTTTTTTTCCCAAATATTCACTGGCATTTTAACAAATCCCTTGCAGTCATTCAGCAATTTTCACCTATTCAGGGCTTTTAATACTGCGATATTTCTGGATCTGGAATTTTGTAAGCGATGGCACTTTGCTTTTCCAGTGCTATTACTGAGCTTTCTGTGGTATTTGACAAGGTTCAAGCCTTGAACTTGAGTACTTATATAGTTTGAAACCTATAAATACCTGCACTCTTGTGGAAATATGGCTTTATTTTATGAACCTCATAACTTCTAATCAAGACACGCATTAGGTTCTTAAATGGCATCTTTCCAAACTCGGGCCTGGAGAGGGTGACCTGATTGTTCAGGACAATCAACCTTGCTGGGTGTGGGGATGTTCTGGACTGCAGCTGCTCTGCTGTCCTTTGCTTTTGCATTTACATATTGACCTGTTCAAATATCATTGAACTGCGATGATAAAAACCTTAATTAAAAAAAAAAAAAAAAAAAAGGTAAAAACCAATGCAGGTGAGATGTGCATCCCATTTGCTGACTGTCCATGACCTTCCCTCCTGCAGTTCTGGAGAATGATGAAGAGATCAAGCAGCTGAACAAGGAGATCAGTGAGCTGAACGAGTCCAACTCGGAGATGGAAGCAGCCATGGTGAAACTACAGTCACAGGTTGGTGTGCCTGGACGAGCCCCCAAGCCCAGGGGGACACGGCCAAGCCCCTTGCTGAGTGGCAGTGGGTGCCACTGGCGAGGGTTGGTAACCCTGCCCTGCTCCCTGCTCTGCAGATCTCCACCATGGAGAAGAACCTGAAGAACATCGAGGAGGAAAACAAAATCATAGAGGAGCAAAACGAAGCCCTGTTCCTGGAGCTCTCAGGGTTGAGCCAGGCTCTAATCCAAAGTCTTGCCAATATCCGCCTTCCGCACATGGTAAGGAACTTTGACAGCGCTCGCCCCAGCCGGCGTGATCAAGGGAGCTGTGCCAAACCCAGTTCACAATAAGGCTTATTCACAATTAAAGACTGGGAGAATTTCTCTCCATACACCTACGTGTCCTTTATAAGATCAGTACTTTTCCCTTATCTCTGAAGCTTGTATTATATCTCCCTTTTGTTGTCATTTTCTGCTGATCTCCCTTTGTATCTATTGTTCTGTCTCATTACATCTGGGAGCCCTATCACAAAATAGGAAACTTTATCAAGGGCACCCAGTGCCTTTTAGGCTAAGACAGCACAAGCAGAGATCAGGAGGGATTGGATTTCAACGTCAGAAAGATCTTAGAGCTCCTATTATAATGCAGGTAGTTTCAATTCGGTTTTGAATAGCTGGCAGCCAAAGAATAGCATTCTTAAAGAGAGTGTATTTTGTTTAATTTAACAAGGTCTAACAGCCCACAGCATGTTACCGTAGAGTTACTGAGAAATGAAAAGACTGCATTAAAATAGTAAAACCACAAAAGGCTATTAATTACCTTCTCTCTATTCCCAGGAATGTAATTACTGTTGTCAAAACCAGGTGTGTGGAAGGGGGGGCTCATGTTGTTGAGGAAGTTTTCCTCTTACATCTCATAAAGACCATTGCAATGATCAGAGGAATGAGCTTTTGATTTATTTTTTCTGCTATCTTTTTTTTTTTTTTTTTTTTTTTGGGAATCCTTTTCATTGGGGGTTGTATTTAAATTCAGGCTGGTTGGAGAGAAGCCATCCTCCAGCAGAGCAGTTTTGGATAGTATTCACCCAGCTGCCTAACTGGCAGAAAACCGCTCGCTGAGTGCTTTTTTTGTGAAGTATTTGACACAAAAAGGTCAAATAAACTGTTCAGCAAATATTTTTTCAAGGTTTCAGGCAACTCCAATTAAATAATGCCCATGAGACTTGTATGCTCATTTCATTCCTGTTCTTTTTCTTCCTTCTCCCTTTCTTTTTTCCCCATTACTCCAAATTAGATATTTGCAAGGTTTCCACGATGCCCCTCAAAAGCAGAAGCTGTCCTGCAGCAGAGTGCTGGTGTGGGCAGCTGTAAGCTTAAGGTGACCAGGCTTCTGTCCTGCCTTTGGTTCCTTCCATGGTGTTCCAACAGTCTTCTTGTTCTCCTGCCCTTCATTTCCATGGCTTAATTCAGCCTCCAGCCTGTCAAACTGCTTGAATGTGCTTAACCTGATGCTGTTAATAGTTCCACAAGGCCAATCCATAAAATTAAGGACCTAGTTAAGATCTGGCAGGATCAGGGGCTGTATGATGAGATTCCTGTAGGTACAGCACCTCACACAAAAAGGCTCTGACATGGAGACCTTTGACTGCCAGTACATACATAGAACCATAGAATGGTTTGGGTTGGAAGGGACCTTAAAGCTCATCTTGTTCCAACCCCCTGCCACGGGCAGGGATGCCTTCCACAAGACCAGGTTACTCCAAGCCCAATCCAACCTGTCCTTGAACACTTTCAGGCATCCCCAATAAAATACACAGATGGTTTATTGTAAAGAATCATTTTAGCCTCTTTCTGCTCTTCTACTAACCCTTTTAATTGGCTTTTTTTTTTTGTTTGCAGGAGCCAATTAGTGAGCAGAACTTTGATGCATATGTGAACACGCTGACAGACATGTACACCAACCAGGAATGCTACCAGAACCCGGAGAACAAGGACCTGCTGGAGAGCATCAAGCAAGCCGTCAAGGGCATCCAGGTTTAGTGCCGTGGGATGGAGATGAGCAAGCAAACAGACTGTAAGATGGAACTTTCCCTCCAAGTATTCAGGTTTACAAGTTAGAAAACTTGTTCAATGAATGAAAAAAAAAAAAAAAAAGAAAGAAAAAAAAGGAAAAAAAGGACCAAAATGTAACCAAGAGGCCATTTCTGAGACATGGAACTGATTGAACTCAATGTTCTCGTTTACTTAATTTTGGACCTTCTTGAGAAAAGTGGAATTTTTTCTACCTGGACCACGAGGTAGATCAGGATGGAAGCTTAAATTCTCCAGTAGGCTGTGGGGCTTGGTAGCAGGTGAAGAGCAGACAACTTTCATGAGTTGCCATGCTCTTGCAGAGTTGATCCAAGGGTTAAAACATTACAAGAACAGGGTCTTGTCTGATCCAAGACTAGTGTATGACTGGCTTAAACCCTCATGTTGTCTATGGTCGTATGTCCAGATCACCTACTCACACATGAGTTATGTTCTATGTTGCTACAAGTGCTGGAGCTGCAAGCTACCTGTAAATCTGAACCTGTGCTGGGCCTCCCAACCCTGAAGTGTTCAGATATCCACTGGGCATGGGAACTCTGAAGTATTATAAAGTAGCTTATTTTTATTTTCTGAAACAAATCTGAAGAGCAGTTCTGGATCTCCAGTGGAAAGCGCAATGGAAAAAAAGGTTCTCAGGGAAGCTTTTGGAGTTTGCAACTACAGTATTCCTTTGTCTGTCTTAAATATGAGAATAGCTATTATGAATAGGCCAATTCCAGATATTTCATACAGAAGAACTCTTTAATGTGTCATGGTCCGGTGTATATGATTTTTTGGAAGTCTGTTTGATGACAGTTCTGGTTCTTTTCATTATTGTGATCATCCTTACAGTGGCGCAGTACTGCCAGTCCAGAGATCATACATCAATGCCAGAGAACGGTTGAGATTGCGATGAACAAAACAAAACAAAACAAAGCAAAAGAGGCAAAAACCGACAAAAAAGAGAGATGTTAATTGATGGCCAGCAAAGTGCTTACACACCGTGAATCGGGAGTTGATTTCTCACAGATATCCACGGGGCAATGAGTATTTTTTTTTTTGGTTTGGTGTTCTAGGATTGGCGCGAAATCACAGCGCAAGCGCCGTTCTGCAAAGAAAAAAAAAAAGGAAAGAAAAGAAAAAACAAAAAAAGGGGTAAAAAAGAAGAAAAAAAGAGTATTCAGGTCATGGGTATTCTTCCAAAGAAGCATTTTGTAAGCAGCTCGGTACACGCAGCCCACTGTGCACTTAAAGAATAACTCCATGAATGTCTTTGTGACGCTGCTCTGCAGCACCCGCTCCGTCGCCAGGGCCGGCTGTCACCCCACAGGGCTGCTCCCCACATCTCTGCTCCCACCCAGAGCTCGCTTCCTTCTCCAAACCCTTCAGAAGCACCGTGGGGCAGAGCCCCCCCCAGGGCTCCCAGTGTGGGTGCATCTTGCATCCTGCGTCCCATATCCCGCGTCCCTCCCGGCAGTGGGGCGGGCAGAGCTGGGGAGGGTTTTGTTGGCCCCTACTAAAGGCAAGACTGCGGTGTTGTTTCAAGCTGAATCCTGCAGATATTTAGGATGTAATTTGCGATTTGGAGAAGTCAGTGGAAAGTCCCAGTGACTACCATGGCCACTGGATCTGGCCTCAAAGCCCAGGAGTGACTTGATTGGTGTCGGTTCCCGTGTTGAGTTCCACGGGGCAGTTGGCCTGGGTGGGTATCTGCTCCCACACTTAAGTGTTTGCAGGATCAGACTCCATGAGTTCACTTATTTTAGAACCCATTCCAAGTGCAAAAATACAAAAGAAAGGGGAAAAAAAAAAAAAAGAATATGAAATTGGAGGTGTTAAAAACACAATGTTCTTAACATGTAAATAGAGTCCAAATTGATTGTGACTGCAATTCAGTTAGTATTTAAAAGTAGAGAAATTGCACTTACTGGAAGAAAGAGAAGAAAAAAAAAAGTAGTTAGTTTAATTATCCTGTAAATTATTTAATTTTGGCAAGATGTATGTAATTTATATTTACAACACCTTATGTTAACTTTTTGCTATTTATTTAACTTTTTTATTTATTAATTTTATACTTATTTTAAACTGGACACTGCACCATAGAAATGAAGATAAAAGAAGCAAAAAAAGTTAAAAATTAAAACTCTTGACCATAAAAAATGATATTCCAAAAAAAAAAAAAGGAAAAAAAAAAAGACAAAAACCCCTATCTACAACTCCTACTTGTAATTTTGATGCAACCAAGTTATTTTTTATATATTTTGTTATTTATTCTTTTAATGATGGGAATTTTTTTAAAGATATTTTATAACTGAGACATTTTGATAATTTTTTGGTTTGTTTTTTTGCAGGGGCAGGGGCACTGGGGGGAAGAGAGACTTTTTCAGTTTTTCTTTTCTTTTTCATTCATATTGTTTCAGGCACTGATAACAGGAAATGAAAATTCTGTATTTATTATTTATTTAATATTTAAGTCGGGGGGAAAAAAAACGAACTGTGCTCTTGTTGTATATTTATTTTGTCGTTTGTGTGTTGGTTATGTGATGACTGAGTACTTGTTTATGTGAAGGAATACTGTTAATATTTAAATAATAAAGAGTCACATTGAAAGTTATAGCAGGCTACATGTTATTCTGTGAAAACGAATACTGTGATCTACTTTCCTCAGGAAATGTATTTTGCAGACAGAACTTCCTTATGTACTGGCAGGGTTATTTCGTAATAAAACCCGGTTCTGTTTGTGACTTTAGTTCCTATGGTCTTTCTTCTAGACTTTGTCCTCCCTCGTCCTTCACTGTGGCTTGTGGGGTCACTGTGTCCCTGCTGACCTGGAGCTCTGCTGAGGGGCTGTGCAGTTCACACCTGGCTCTTCCCACCTACTAAGCTGAAATTTACTAAACAGAAATTTAGGTTTGGCATCTCCAAAGGCCTCGAAGAATAAGGAGCTGTCACCATCCAGCCAAGCCAGTGCCTAAAATCCCACTAGTGCCATGATGGGGAGAATCAAAACTCCACATCTCCAGGAGGGCTGGAGCCCCTGTGCTCTGGAGACAGGCTGGGAGAGCTGGAGTTGCTCAGCCTGGGGAACAGAAGGCTCTGGAGAGACCTGAGAGCCCCTTCCAGTGCCTAAAGGGACTCCAAGAGAGCTGGACAGGGACTTTGGACAAGGGCCTGGAGTGACAGAACAAGGGGGAATGGCTTCACTGACAGAGGGCAGGGTTAGATGGGATATTAGGAAGGAGCAGAGGGGATGCCATCAGGAGCAGTACAGGAGATGACAGCTCTGAGACAGGACACAGAGACAGACACATTTCCCTCCTAGATTTACAACAAAAGCTTCACCAAACTGATCTCTGAGGTTTAGCTCAAATGCTGGGAGATGGCTGTTCTTTGTCAACAAGATTTGCTCAGTTATATTGCCCTGACAGTGATTTTTGCAGATTGCCCTCCTGGAAGAACGGAGCCTTTCCACTGGTTTATGTTTTGAAGCTGTGGCAATGAAGAGAATTTTCCACTGATCTCTGTGTTGGAAACATAATTTCTGAAGTTGGTATAATTCAGTTTTGCTCTGCTGTAGCTGTAGCTCCCAAGGTGAAATAAGGTAAATCACGTTAAGGCCATTTGGAGCTGAGTGAATTGGGTCAAATGGGAATTTCAGGCAGGTTCATCACCAAGAAATTCAATTGTCTGATTAACTGAACTGAACTTCCCTGTCTGTCTCTGCATGGAGGAACAAGTGCTGTTGGGTTATAGCAGGAGGAGGTGTCTGTACCACAGGCACAAAAGTGAAGGGCTGAGTAAAATGCAGCCAGAACTGTAGTCAGAAGAATTTAGAGCAAAGTTTTGGGTAGAAGGGTTTTTTAAAGAATGTCCATGTCTGTGTGTGTTTGCTGGGAATTTTTTTCTGACTTCACTGGATATCTGCAAGCTGTCCTGGGGCAGGAGAACTGAGAGAGGCTTAGGACAGACTCACTTGGATGCCCTAGCTGTGCGGTCCCAAATGCCTGAGAAGAAACACCCTTGTAAGCAGGGGCTGTTGGAGATGGATCCCATCTTTCCCAGGACCCCCAAGGACAAGATCTCTTTGAGGCTTTGCTGGGCCTAACTTGGAGTCGGTGGGGTTTTATCCTCTTGGCAAAGGAGAAAAACAGGCCAACCCACGCAACGGATCCCCTCAACTGGCTGGCACGCTGTTTTCCTGAAGGGCACATGATTGTTTTATGGGGGTTCCGCTCGACTTTGCACCGCCGAGCACTTCCTTGTGCCAATATTTGATTATGGTGATGGGAGCTAATAGACAGGCTGGCTTGTCCTTCCTTAACGAATCGGCTGAGCTGTGTAATAGAGTGGTTGGATTTGTGCTCGATTGCAGCTCGGGGAGCCATCACTGTGAGATGTTATCTTCTCGGAGCCGGCGCCCTTTATCGCAGGGAAGGGAATTGAATTGGTTTAAGATGGTACGCTGTCAGTTTATAGGTGTGCTTAGGAGGGCTCTTAAGCCTCCTCCAGCAGGCCTAGTGTGAGAGCTGAATGGCAGAGAAGAGCAGGTCTCTGGCTTCAAGGATGCAAGGGAAAAGGTACCCGTCAGCATATGGTTGTTTCTAAACGTGTTGATAAACCATTGACCAGGGAGAGTGTCACTTGGCCTCGCTGATGCCGCTGTTAATTGTTGAAAGCTGCTAATGACCCATTCCTCCAGTGGCACCTTCCACTTGTCAGCACTGACCTGGCATCTCCCAGACAGCCACAAGGTCTGGCCTTAAACAGCTGTGAACAGAAAGGGCACTCTTTCCCAGGCTCATGCATATTTTCTGACTTTTGTTTCCCCCACCCCACAGCTCCTCTGGGTGAAGGCTCAGCCCACCTCACCCTCCTCCCACAGCTGAGGGATCCTGAAAAACACACAGCTGGGCGGTCAGGAAGTGGTTGCCTTGTTGTCCCTCAGGTTACCCGGGCAAGAAGGGAACTTTGCTCTTCAGAGATATAATTTGCCATCAAATTCACTCCCCTTTGGACCACAGAAAGACAGTCCTGAGGCTTGGGAGCAATCAGATGGGCTGGAGATGACACTGCAGCCAATGGAGCAGCCCCAAGCTGCAAATTGCTCCAGCACAGCTTAGTTGGATTAAAGGCTCTGGCCCACACTTTTTAACAGACTCACTCCTATACTTTTATGAGAAGATATATCCTGAAACGACCTTCTGCTTTGTACAGAAGGGCTCATGGGATTGAGGCTGTAGGAAAGTGTGCATTCTTCAGACAAATAGCTCTCGTTATTCCAGATGCTTTCATCCCTGTCTTTCAGTGGGATGAATAAATCACCAATTGTTGTAAAAATGGTAGTATCAGTTTTAAAGACATTTTCGACCCTGTCAACAAGGAAGTATAACACCCATTAAAGCCTGCTTTCATTTCTATAACTGCAGTGCTGTTTTGTTTGAATGTCAGGGACTATTTGTGAGGATCTGAAGGAACACGAGCCATGAAGGGATGGAGCAAGGCCACATGCTCTGCCTGAGCTCCAGGGCTAGCATGAAGGCCCCAGAAGGACCTGTCCACACTAAGATGATGTCTGCCCTTGCAACATCATGTCCATGGTCAGTATGCCCTTACTGAAGCCAGGATATGCCAAAACTTGTCCCTTCCTTACTCACAAGTCCCAGAGTCCACCTAAACTGAATGAAAGGCAACAGCCAAAAAGTTTGGACTCAAACAGAGGCTAACCTGGCCTTAGCACTGCAGGAGAGTTGGTTTTGATAAGTCAAGTCCAACACCAAGGATCAGCTCTTCAGGTTTTACCATTTGCTAGGGGACTCCTTCTCAGGCTCCAACCTTCAATAATCCAGCCCAACCATGCTGAAGTTGTTTAGCAATTAAATAACATAAATCCAGAAGCTAGATTAATAAACAGCCTGGTCTGTTTAGAGCAGTCTACAGGGTGGAGAGATAAAACTGTAAAATATTTATTACCGGCTTGGGGATGAAGTCATTAATTTAATAACTACCCATTGCTTTGCTTCTTACAGTTGTTAGCAGTCTGAAGGTTACAGAAGATTAGGTGGGAAACTTACTGCTTCCCTGCTGAGTGGAGCCTTTCCCATGAAAGCCCGGGCCCAGCTCCCATCTGTCACTCCATTACGTTCGGAGGTGCTGAATATATTACCGAAGTAAAACAAAACGAATTTTCAGCTGGCCACATGGCGACCCTCCGCGAAATTTAATGAGGACACTGCCCTTTGTGCACGAGGCCATTCCCAGCAGCTGTAGAGATGAAGGCAGGGGGATCTTTGCCGACGCTCGCCGCTTGCTCACGACGTGGCTCCCACGGCGAGCGCGGCCCCCACAGCATCACGAGGGCGGCTGCGGGGACCGGCGCTTTGGCTGCCTCCTGTCCTGAGAGGTCGGGAGCTGAGGCTGTCTGAGCCTCCCCTCACTGAGGATCTCTCAGTGGGCCTTCAGGTTTCCAGGAGAGGGAACAAGGGTATTAGCTGAGTCCCTGCTGTGATGTGATATTGGGGAGCATCCAGGACTCAGATCCGCACATCCGCTTTGTGGTGATTATGGCTGGAGTCCCCTGATGAGTGGGCACCCCCGCTGACAGCTGCAATTTGCAGTGATGCTGTAGCAAAAGTCATGGGGGGAGAGCGAGGGAGGGCAGCTGTGAACCCTTGGTATGTTTTGTCAGGGTTTTCACCCAGGGACAGCAAAGGGCTGTCGTCTGATTGAAGCACACGGTGGGTAGGGTTTGAGCAGGAGGCAGTGTGTGATGTGGGACATGTTCCCCCCACCAGCTCCTGCTGATGAGGGGCTGAGACACTGGTAATCCTCCCTGAAGATTGTCTTGACAGTGAAGGTAATCAAATTGCCTAAATAATTTAGCGAATCTTTAGCCTGTTTGGAAAATAAATAAAATAAACATCCCTCAACAGGAGAGATGGTGGCCAGGGATGGAGAAAGGCATCTGTGCTCTCCACCCACACGAGAAGCAATGATAAGCACCTGTGGGTCATGCAGTGATGGACCCTGTTTTTTACCTTATGCATGTGGTCTGCCTGGAGTTCTGCTGCCAACCCAAAGAGCATCTTGTTTTCAGGTGACTTTCAAGGTGCTCTGTTTGGCTCAAGTTATCCTTGGTGACAGTCCAGGGGAAAAAGGAAAACAATGGCCCTGGAATAATGTTCTGGCTTCTGCAGGCTCCCACAAAGGAGATTCTTTGTGGGCAGCTCAAAACAGGCAAGTCCAAAGCTGGGTCTCCCAGTATTGGAGATGAGAAGCTCTGCACAGCTGGATCAGCTGCAATATCTTGGCCAAGACTTTGCACTGTTTTAATGACATCAGGCTGTGCTTTAGCATAGATGGAGTGATATTTTAGTGGTACTTTTAGCAGACTAGGGAGGAGAAGGAAAGAGAGAGAGAAAATTCTTGTGAATCACAACAGACCTGCAAGATATTTCTGTTGTCACCCAAAAAGTAAAAGAAACATTTCTGTAGAGCATTAACCTCAGTTTTTCTCTCACAGCATACTAATTTGGAACTGTCAGCATGAGCATCTTTGTCCTGACCATCCTGTACTCTGGTACACATCCAGCATAGTCAGGGCTAACTGCAAAGGCCCTACTCCAGCATCATGTCATCGCATTACCCTTTCATTTCTCTTATCAGTGCTGCCATTCAGTTCCACTCCTTATTCCCAGTCCTTATCACAATGAGCCAAGAAAGTGCAGAGCATCAGCCAGGAGGAAAAAAAAAAAAAAGAACAGGTGAAATTCTGATGTTGTCAGCTAAAATACTTTCCAGATGAGCTCTTCCCACAAAGAAGCTGAATCTTGGTGATTTAGTTGCCAAATTTTGCATTTGCTCCCTCTCTCCCATGTCTCCTCTCAGCTGTGGGCTCAAAGTGGAGTCCTGACACTGCAAAGTGTTAATAGAATTAGTCTCCTGCTATAAACTGTTCACTGGGGCTTGTTAGCTCAATTGTTGATGCTAAACTCTTATCAGCAGAGCCACCTAAAAGAGCATTAATCAAGGAAGGCTGAACTCCCTGCCTGGGTCACAGAAATTTAATTAAACCTCAAGTAAAACTGGAAAATAATTTTGAAAAGAGAAGAGACGAATGCAAAATGCTTTTCATCATTTGATTCTGCATCTCCCTAGTTCAAGCCCTCAGCTATCATTTCAAAGAGAGTTTTGCCAGAGCAAAGGCTGAGTGAAACACAGACAAGACTTTACTGAGTGTCACCTTTAATACAAAAGTCCTGATGCTCATCTGGGGTAAATGAAATATGGAAAACCACCAAATAAGGCCTGCTAAGGACCTGGACCCACAAATGCAAAAGAGCAGACTTCCTGTATCAAGTAAAATAGCAATCTCCTCGACTAAGGTTGTGTTATGGTTAAGGTTGTGTTCTGGTTATTAGTTTATGGATTTGCATCTATTTTCCATTTGCTGTGCAAAAAGTCTCATGCAACAAAGCATTTGTCTGGGGGATGCAAAGAAATATCAGTGCCAGTGTTGGTACAACCTCGTGTGGGATATTGTGTGTAGTTCTGGGACCTCTCTTTGGAAAAAGAAAAGATTAATTTATCCTTGAACAGGTGCAGGGAAGGACTGGCAGAGTGATTAGCAGAACAGAGAACCTATCTTAGGAGAGGAGATTAAAAGAGCTTGGCTTGTTTAGCCTAGAAAAACAAAGGTTAAGAGGGGATATGATTACTCTTCATAAATACATTCAGGGTAGGAGGAAGGGGAATGATTTATGTTAGAGGATAATACGGGTAGGAGATCAAATAAGGCACATCTTGACCAGGAATAAATTCCCATCGGAAATCTGAAGATGTTTTCTTATCACTGGAGGAGGGAGGTTTTGGAAAGGCCTTCTGAGCAGGACACATGAGCCTTCGTGGTGTTTATGGGGAGATGGACAAACGTGGCTGGCTCAGCCTGACAGGTGAATCTGCAGGTAGGACACGTGGAACTGCCAGAGGCAAAGCAGGGATGTGTGATATGGCTGCTGTCTGGTTGCATTTTTATTATTTATGAATCCATAAAATCCATTGATCTTATTTAATCCATGAATCATTTAAAAGATCCAGGAACCATTTTCTCACCCCATAAAATATGAAAAGCTTGATTTTTTGAGATTTTTATTTGGCAGCTGTGCCCTTAATCACGGCAGAGGCAGAAGAGAGACAGGACACCGACTCTCCTGGCAATACCAAGAAAAGATGAAACACCTGACTGCTCCATGTCCTCACTGTCACGGATCTCTGGTGACACCTTCTCCCACTCTCAGCCAGGCTGCTTTCCTTTAATGACACACTTAAGTGAGACAAATCCAGGTCTTTAAGAGTCCTTTTTCCAAGTGGCACTGGTTATGCACAGTGCAATACAGTGGAAATCAAGACATATGTTCTTCCTCTTGCTTCAGCAATTGCTCACAGAGCCCTTGGATGAAGTGAAGCAAGAGAATAGCTTTAGGAGACACACACACACACAACACAAACCCTCCCTTTGCACGGGCAGGAGGATCTCAAGTGATTTGCTGTCGGTGTGTTAATAGTAATACCAGTATAAATGCATGGGTCTGCATGCATTTGCATATATGCATATATGTGCATATGCACAGATAGTATTTGCATATGGAAATGGTACAGTGCCAAACTGACCAGAAAAGGCAACACAGCATATTTTACAAAATGAAAAAAATGGTGAAAATATAACCCCATGATTTAATGCTCCCTGAGCTCTTAATTAATGTGAGTCATCCTGTCACTCACTAATTACCCCATTGACTTAAACAATCATCTGTATTGCCAGGCTGCAGGTCAGCTCAGTCTGCTGGGCCTTGGCTTGGGGGCTAAAATGCATTTTGCTATTTGACCTTCCAAATAAATAAAAACATCTCATTTTAAGTGATCACCACTATGACAGAGTTCAGGAGTTAATTCATTCTGACTGGCGTTTTGAAAATATTTATTAAGGAAATTGGTCTGAAAAAAAATGAAGGAGGAAACTTAAAACACAGGGAAATAGAGACAAGGAAAGGCAACAAGAATCTTGGCTTCTCAGAAATTAAGTATCTCAGCTAACAAAGGATGGAGACCTGGTTCTCTCTGGTAAGACTGGGGGTTCCTGAGAGTAGGAACAGGAGTTGTACTTGAGCCTGTAAGGGTCCCTGCCCTTCCCCAGCCCAGGAGAAGATGCTGAAGTGGAACCTCCGAACCCCGCAGCAATGCCTGTACTGCTGGGGACACCTTGTGGCACACGGCTGGGAGAGAATAACGCTGAGATTTAAGTGCCAGCAGGCTCCGTTTTCCCAATCCCACTCCGCTTTTCCCACTCCCGGTGTCTGCGGGGGCTCTCCGAGCCGGGGGCAGCTGCTCACACTCATTTACAGAGAGCACAGATGCAGGAGTGAGTTACTCATCTATTGCTGACTGTAACTCCTGGCTAACAAAGCCCCAGGTGAGCTCTAAGGAGAAAAGGAAGGTGTTTTTAAAGAGCAGGGAAAGAAGGAGCGTGAAGAATCGGCAGCTGGAGACCCATGGAATCATGAAATAGCCAGCCATTCTGTTTTGCTAAATGGGGGGAGGCAGTTTGCAATTTTATCAGACAATTTCTGGCTTCCTCCAGAGCTGGAGCCTGATGCTATGACATACATGGAGGTGTTTTCAGCAAATAACTACATTTTCGAAGAAGGTAGGTGGCAAAAAGCTTCCATGAATACACCTGGGAGAGCACAGGGTATTTGGGAATCCCTAAAACATTCCTCAGGCTCGTTCTGGGCTTCTTGAGGACTCGCTGCTGCAAGAAGGAGGCGGAAGCAGTGCTCCCTCTCTGCCCCTGCATGCTCTGCCTGCAGCACAGCTGCTCTAGCAACAACAGGGAATCATTTCACCCAGCTTTTTATTTTAATAAATTTTGCCCACGAACAAACAAACAAACAAAAAAAACCCCACAACAACCCCAAACCAAAAAACAACTGCTAGTTTTCAAGCGATGCTAGTGGCAAGGGGAGCAGATGCTGAATGGGAGCCCTGGAACCACACGTGCAAGGAGTTTGTCTGTCCTGCATCTGCAGTTTCCACCGCGTGCCGTTATGCCCGAGCACAATCACCACGGCCTGTTTTGGTTGAATCAGCAAGGAGGAGTTTCAGCGCTCGCTCTCCACCAATAATCCCACTCTCCCAGGCAGCTGTCTTCTGCAAAATGAAAGTGCAGACATCTACAGAATTACCCCGCTGCCTGTTTGCAGAGTCTGCTGTTACCACGTTAATGAAGGCAGCTGAGATAATCACCTTAAAGCATAAATAAATCTCGGGTGCTGATTCACTTTCTCCTATTCGAGTCTCATTTACCAGAGTAATTCTTATTTTCTTTTCTCACTGCGGGCTTGTTGTGTCTGCCAAGACAGCCCTTTTTCCACAGTTCATCTCCAGACAACTTAAATCAAGAAGCCTCTTGTTCAGATGTCGTTATTCCTTCTCATTTTGCAGCTGCATGTAGTATGGAGTCCATGAAGATCTAAGGCCAGTCCACAGAATTTTGTTTGATCTGCAGCCTCAGCCTGCGTGGGTCACTTGAACATGAAGACAAGCACACACTTTTAGAGGATAATTTCTCTCAGTCCGAGACAGATCACAGGAGACACCTTTTCCCACTTGTCAGGCCCTGCCATGTCACAACCACTGAGCGAGCTTACACAGGTAGGGAAAATTTAAATTAGGCGCCTAACACTCAGCTAGATCATGTCAGGGGATCCCTCACTACACAAATGGCAAGTCAGATATTGTGGAGCCTTACAATACTCCAGGTTTCCTTCAAGTCCCAGCCCCTGGAATCAGGTGAATTCACATCTTACTCCTCAGTAAACTCACACCTGGCTGCAGCAAAAAACCCAAACCAACAAACAATATCCAAGCCTGTAACTCGGGTTCACAGGCTCAAAATTAAGAATATCAACCAGTTCCCATTATTGTAATTATTAATATTATTAATATTCCCATAATTTTTAGGACTGTGTGTGCCAGCTCTGACTGGCACCTCCCCAGCTCCTCTTATCCCATCCCACGCCCTGGGAAGCACCGATCCCACCGGGAGCTGGGGCACTGCGCTGTCACAATGGGGATTAAAGGACTGGGAGAACTGGGAGGACTGGGCGATGCGCTGGAGCAGCAGGTGTGGAAACGCAGCCCCGTGCTGGGAGCAGGGTGGAAGGGCACGGGGCTGGGGGAAAGCAGCCACAACGGCACCGGGAGATGTTCCCGGGACAGACGGGAAAGAACGGCGTTCTAATCCGTGCCTTGTCCCGGTACGCCGCCTTGGGTTTGCACTTTGGCAAAGTTTCGGGAGCGTCGGCAGGTTGTGGGGGGGTACAGGGGTGTGTTCTGCGAGAAGTTGGCTGGCACATTCCCCCGTGTCCCATGGAGAATCCCACGCGGATCCATCCCCGGGGCTCCCGCACGGCCCCAGCCCCGCAGTGGTACAGCCCTGCGCTCCCCCCGCGCCGGCCCTGCATGGTACGGCCCGCACGGCTCCCCCCGCCGCGCACTGCAGTGGTGTGCTCCACGCGTCACCCCCCCCACCCGCGACGGTGGTGCGCGCCGCGCGTGCGTAGTGGCGCGGCCGGCGCTCAGCTGGGCAGTGTTTACAGCCCCGAGCGCGCCGGCCTTGGGGAGGAGGGGGGGGGGAGCCGAACGGAGCCGAAAAGAGCCGAACCGAGCCGAGCGGAGCCGAACCGGACCGAACCGAGCCGAACCTAACGGAGCCGAATAGAGCCGAACCGAACCGAACGGAGCCGAGCGGAGCCGAACCGCGGCCGCTCAGGTGCCTCTTTTATTTAATTTTATTTATTTATTTATTTTTATTACAGCAATAAATAACCCCACCTTTGCCGCTCCTCCTGCAGCGTGTCGTGGCACCGCGGGGATTGCCCTGGAGACCTGCTGGGGCTGACGGATTGCGTTTGTGCGCCCCGTGCATTGTTGGGAGCGGTGTTTGTTTGCACCGGGAGGGGGGAGGGATCGCTCCAATTCCAGGATTTTGTTTCAGGTTGAATGCAGCTCCTCCTGTGCTTTTTTTTTGTTGGTTTGTTTGTTTTCTACTTGTTTGTTTGTTTGTTTTCTCTCTCGTTTGCTCGTTTACTGCTTTTTGTTGTTTTTCTCTGCTCTGTTTTCCTTAAAGGGGGTGTTTCCCAGGGGATGTTCCAGGACCAAAACGCTGCTGGGTTTGGTGTCCGTGTTGCGAGTGAGCAGCGAATTTTTTTTTGCACAGTGAACTTTGTCCCTGGCTCGGATCTGTGGAAATCTCTTGTTTCTGCCTTAAAGCGAAAAAAAAAAAAATAATAATCTGGCTGGACTTGTTATGGAGGGTTTTCTTTTTGAAAAAGTTTGTTAAAAAATAAGCCCTACCCGCAGTCTTGGTTCCCACAAAGTTAAAGAAAGATGTAGGATTACATTAAGAGGAATTTGAATGTCAGAAATTCTGCACATAAAGCATTAATTTTATTGGAAGTGAGTTAATGTCCAGTAAAACTGATCATTTTTGACGCCTGTCACCGCTTGGATGTTCCTTGATCTCATTAAGAAAGTGTCTCAGACAACACTTGTTGTGTTCCATGGTGTAGAACATGGAAAGACACTTGTTGTTCATATAGCTGAGCTAAAACCAGGTCAGACCAGTTGCCCCAGTGGGGCTCACAAACATCAGGAGGAATTTATTTGAGATCCAAAGTGGAACACTTTTAAAGGCACAACTTTGTATTCTTAGTTTAAATCTAAAAATCAAGATTTTTTTTTTTTTTTTTTAATAGCAGAAGGAGTGGAAGAAATAAGCAACCCTAAGAACAAAAATATGTAGAAGACACTCAAGGGAATCAATACCCTCAGGGAAGAGAGTATTTTAGTGTGGAATGTTACATAAAGTGTATTGACCAAAGGTACAGGCAACCCCATGTGTGCAAATGCACTGAGGTTTTGAGTATGTAAGAGAAGGGGAAAAAATAATTGGTAGATTAACCCAACTAAGCCTTCAACTTGATGTGTTTCCACTGTGAAGTAATAAAACACAATCATTTTTTGGAGAGAAAATGAAGGAGTCGCTGTTGAAAGGAGAGGGGTGGCTTTTTATTTCAAGTTTTATTAATGGTCTGGAACTGGACTGATGTGTTTGAGACATGAATGGATTAAAAACTGGCTCGAGGTCCCTGCCTAAGTGTATCCTGTTTTGTGTGCCTCTCCAGGTAATCAGAATGGCATGTTATTTGAATAACTGTGAAATTTCCTTGGAGTCCTGTAGCTTTTCTTTGTTTCCTCTGAAAACCAAAGTCTATAATTTGCTCTTGCTGAATGTAACAAATAAACTCGCAACAATTTTGCTGTAGGCAGATCTTCTGATCCCAGGAATGAAAACTCCAAAGCTGCTGCTGCTTCTGTGGTTATTACTGTGAGCAGGGAAAGGCATTGTAAATAAATGCATTAAAAGAATTATATTGTGTTTTCTGGAAAAGATTTTTTTTTTTCTTAAGATGTGAGAAGGTAGGGGAAAAAGCTAGCTTAATTCTGAGTGATAAGTTCTTCTGGGTTCTTCTCCCCCTATACTTTTTCCTTTAAAACCTGTAGCTGTTTAACTACATTAAGCATTATAACCATGTGTAGTGTAATGCACAGTCAAGGAAAGTGTTTGCTTTGCTTACCCCACACCAACAAGCCTGAGTAGGTCCATGATCATGTCAGTGAAGTCAGAAGAGTTTGCAATTCAGACATCTGTGTCACTCAGGAGTTACCAAATTGAAGGTGAGCTCATCTAGGGCTTAAGAGGACCTAAGAAATTCCACAGGCTGCAGTGGAAATTCTCTCTGCAGTTGCTCTCTGTATCATTAAGTGCTTTAGTGATGGTGGTGGCTCAAGCTGTGGAGATGAGTTGTGTGAAAGTGCATTTGCTAAAGTAACAAGGTTGATGGGTCAGAGCTGTTGGGGTTTTTTCAACCTCTGTGAAATCAACATCCTGATGCATGTTCGAAGAAAACGTAATTTGAGATGTTTCTGGATTTGCTGCCTGCGTCTTTGTCTCTTAATTGATGCTGTTAGAGATAGAAAGTCCGCTCGTGGCCAGAATTCTGACAGACAGGCCAAACTCACACTGTTGGTTGGGCTTGCAATGAAAGATGACCTACAAGCACAGGAGCTGGAATAATCCTTTATATAAAAGGGTGCAGTGGAAAAGCTGACGTGCTGGTAAAACCGTTGGGAGTGTTTGAAGACAGGCCGTGCACACTGAAATTGCCTATTGTGATTTCCCCCCCTCCCCACCCCCAGTGTCAGGTACTGGATGCCAGATCTGCTGCATTTTGTTTTCCATTGTTGGAATGGGGGCTGGAAGTGCTGCTGGTGATGTTTTTCTGGTGCTTGTGGTCCTTGGAGCACATAAAGGTCTCTCTCAAAGTACTTCACGTTACAGCATCATTTAGTGTTGAAGTGCACGTTCTGTACCTCACCCTCCTTTATTCTTTTATTTTTAGTGTCTATAAAAGACTGCTGAAGATGGGAGGCGCAGTGAGTGCTGGAGAAGATAATGATGAATTAATTGATAACCTGAAGGAGGCACAGTACATCAGGACAGAACTGGTGGAACAGGCCTTCCGAGCCATTGATCGAGCAGATTACTACCTGGAAGAGTTCAAAGACAATGCCTACAAGGACTTGGCATGGAAGCATGGGAATATTCATCTCTCAGCACCCTGCATTTACTCTGAGGTGATGGAAGCTTTGGATCTGCAACCAGGGCTGTCATTTCTGAATCTTGGCAGTGGCACTGGTTATCTGAGTTCTATGGTTGGACTCATCTTGGGTAAATACCTTTTCAGTCACGTTAACTGTTTGTGTTAGACTTTGAAAAACATGTTTTGAAATAGGCAATGAATCATTCTTCAAGTAATGGAACTAAAGGATAGCTGGGAAAGTAAAGAATGCATTAATCCAGCTTGTTTATCAGGATTTTTGCAACCTTCTCTCTGGAACCAGATGGGATCCAGATTTCTGTGGCAGATCAGAGCAGGCACAGATGTGTTTCCAGAGGTGGCTGTAGTGGATTCCTGCAGGACTGGACATGAACTTGGGTTAGTTTCCTCTTAGGGATGACTCCAGATCAGGATCAGGAGTACAAAGCTGAAACCAGAATTAAGCACCTCCACAGAAACCTGTAACTACCCCTGCACTGTGCCTGTTTGTGTTCACACTGTGCTGTTTAGACTGAGGCATGTTTGAGGTCCACTTTTGACACTTACTAACAGACAGATGGGAATACTCTCTGGAAAACACCGAGTGCAGCAAAACTGATTCTGTGACCACATCTACAGTGACACAGAGCAAATCACCCAAGTGCAGTTGTGCACTTGCAATTCACCCTGAGGTGTTTCAGTGAGAGCTGTGCTGCCAGGATTGATAGCAAATGGCTGTAGGGTACAAACTTCCCTTTAGTGGGTGTCAAGAATTTTAACTGCTGAGATGTTTGTTCTCAGGGTAGAGCCTCGCTCCCATCTCCCATTTGTGGTTTTCTCCTAGGTTTGTTGAGATTACCAAGGATACCAATATGTAACTCCAGGGCTTTTACATTCTTTTGAATTTTTGCAAAAATTACCCTGTCAATTCTGAATAAAAAGCACAAGTGCTGAACAACTTACGTTGTTACTTCCAGTTTATTTTTGCTGTTAAGTGAGGTACAGTGGATGATGACTGTTCCTGATTCCTTTGCAAAGACTTTAGCATATCAACAAGGGGTGCAAAAATAATATGAAAAATTTTTTAGGGAAGTATTAAAATATGCAGGGAGTCGTTCTGCCTTGGAATTTTTTTTTCCAGGTGGCCAGTTTTACAGCAATGGCAGCAGTGCTTCCCTGCTATGGAGAAGTTTCCTGCATAGTTCAGAGCAAATGATTCAGAATCAATTGTGCAAGACAGGCTCATTTGCTGCCAGAAATTGCAGGTACAGGGTTGCAGTTCCCATTGTGGCGCTGAGAGAGCTGACCCTACACAAACGCTGTCTGACACTCACGGGAAAATCCGTCCTAGGAACTCACCCAAACTGTGTTAATCCTGCTGGATTTTGTGGTGTTGCCTGTTACCAGTCACCCTGGTGTTCCACGTTTGCAGGCCCCTTTGGTGTGAACCACGGCGTGGAGCTCCACTCGGACGTGATCGAGTACGCCAAGCAGAAATTGGACTTCTTCATAAAGACAAGCGACAGCTTCGACAAGTGAGTGCAAAGTGCCCCTTTGGATTAGTTCTGTTGGTTTGGCTTCAGTTCTTGGCTCCCATGTGGCCCCTCTGGATTCAGGGTAATCTGAGGATTCAGGCTCCTTAGGCTTGCTGAGCTGCAGTGTGTGACCTCCAAAGCCCGTGTGCGTTGTGGGGGAGTCTCTGAAATGTTTGCTGTGGGAAGTTTGCTTGTTTTGAAATGCACTGGCAGTAACAGCTCGAAACTTGCAATTAACAACGCTAGTTCTTCTCGTGATCTGGGAGCGTGCGTGGTGATGAGAAGGATATGAACTGATTTCTGGGGTGGGCCTAATGTGTTTTATCTGAAAAGAAGAAAAATGGTGTTTTAAAATAGGGAGGTAGTTTTAAGATGATTAAGTTGGTACTAAAACTGCTTGGGATTTGATTGATGTTCTTCCTTAGAACCTCCATTTTGCTGCTGTCACAATTAATGACTTTCCAGGCAAGATAACCACTGCCAATAGTAACCTCAGCAGTAAAAGTTGCAGCTGTCATATTTTTGGATCTGCTGCACGGTTTGTTCGAACAGGGCAGCGAAGCATCTGTGGATACCTGATACCCTCCTCTCCTGGGAGGAAGAAAATCAAAGTCATTACGTGCTGGATTTTAGACTGCTCAGCCTTGTGCTGCTCCTGCTGTACTGGAAAGCTGCTGGTGAGGGGGCTGTATTTTCTGGATGTTGGCAGCAGACTGACAGTTTTTGGCGTGGATGGTGCTCGACTGGGTGCTTTTCCAGGGTCACGTTGCCGTTGTTTGAATAGATGTTTTAAGGAAGACTTCTTTTCTCTCTCCAGACAAATATAGCTGTGGAGCAAAAGTGAGCTGAATTCAGGAATCATCATGACTGGAAAGCTGGCATTGCTGAGTGATGTCTGCTGGGTTGTGCTGTTGGAACACCGTGTGCAGGAACTGTTCACTGGCTGCTCAGAGTGTCCAGCACGCTTTGCAAAACCAGAAAGCTTCAGGAAGTGTTTAGGAATAAATAGGTGCTATACTGAGCTGCCACTCAAGATACCAGTAGAAGAATAGATGTGTTGTACAACTTCATAAATGTAGGGCTTAAAATTGATGTAGTTTTGGAGCGTGTAAGAAAAGCAGAGGCATCATTGAATCATTCATTTTTCTTTGACACTGAGTCAGAAATGTTGTAGGCAAAAGATTTGGGGTTTTTTTTATGAAGGGTAAAATCACAGTTCTTTTGAAGCTAATGGCAAAACTTCCTTTGGCTTCAGCAAAGCATAATTCTGTAGCATCAGGTGATAGTTCCCCACATCTGAAAGCCAGGTTTTGAAAATGCAACAATAAACCCAGGTGCAGTCCTTAAAAGACTTTCTTGTCTGAAATCAGAGGTCTAATATTTATATTTGCATATTATGACTGAGTCAGCATCAGGTGACTAAAAATAGCTTGTTCTGAAGAGTTCCCTGCATCTCAAGTGGGTAATTATGCATCCTTATCCTTTGGAGAGTTTAATCCATGAATTCTGACCTCATTGTTCTGTGGTTTTGAGACTTCTAGCTGCGTTCTGTCACAATAATGTCTAGAATAGGTGGGCTTTGGAGGAGAAATCCTGTAGAACTGGGTTTTTTCCAAGCATTTTTCGTAGTTTAGTTATTTCATAATTGTGAAAATGATTCATTGGATAAATTGTAATATTCTTGTCTGATACAAGTCATCTTCACTTTCAGATTTGAATTTTGTGAGCCATCCTTTGTTACTGGCAATTGTCTAGAGATTTCCCCGGACTGCACTCAGTATGACCGTGTTTACTGTGGTGCTGGAGTACAGAAGGAACACGAGGACTACATGAAGAACCTCTTGAAAGTTGGAGGAATTCTTGTCATGCCTCTGGAAGAGAAGGTTGAGTGCCTTTCTTCTCCTGTTTCTCTTTCAGTTATTCTTAATTCTGATCTTGATTCAGTCAACAGCTGCTCCTTTATCTTGCCCTTGCAGCAGGTTGAAGAAAGCACTGAGTGCACCAGTTTTCACTGTGAGTGGAAACTGAACTCTGCACGTTCATAATATTTAAGAAATTTATAGTTCTACCAATCTTTCACATATTGAAGTCTGTTGTTAATTGCAGCTTTACTTTCATGCTGCAGAAAATGTAAGCAAGGCTTTGTTCAGTTACGTAATCTAGTGTTGTGCTTGATGACAAAACACAGCATTTTACATATCCCTGACTGGCTCGTGAAAGAGCCTGCAAGATGTCTCTATTTACAAGTGTCAATGGATTCCTTTTAGTAAAAAGTGGGCAAGTGCCTCATGTGTGGGCTCAAGATGTGCAATTCAGTTTATCTCTCTGGTGTAAAGGTGTGTTGGTTTAATGGACTGAGGTGTAGGTGTCTGACCTCTTCTCTCTATCAGGGCACAGAGGAGCAGGGTGCAGGGTTCCTTCCCAGTAAGATGGTGTGCAGTGAGTTAATGTAAGAGATTTGGGCTGGAACATAAATCCAGTGATCTGCAGACCTCTTCAGGAGTGAATGTTCATTGGTGACTGAGTTTTCTCTGGCACCAGACACAGCAGTTCAGGCCCAGAATGGAGGAAGGTCTGGGAAAGCAGCATCCCAAACTGCCAGTGCCCTTTGCTCTGTTCCAACAGTTACTTGAGGCTAATGCTGCAAGAAGTTCTCAATTTTTTTAAAAAAACCCACCAATGTTTCTCCTTATCACTTTTTACTGTTGCAGCTTCCAGTACTTTAAACACTTGTCAAGGCAGAAAAGTCGTTTGTTCATTTTTTTTTTTTTGTACAAAAATCTCACTGTAGTTCACACAATGAACAATAATCTCCTTGTTTTGGTTTAGTTGACTAAGATAACTCGTACTGGCCCTTCTGCCTGGGAGACCAAGAAGATTCTTGCTGTTTCTTTTGCTCCTTTGATTCAGCCAAACCACGCAGACTCGGGAAAATCCAGGCTTGTTCACTTGCGTGAGTACAGACATTCCTGAGCACGGGGGAGGTTTCTTCTGCTGTTTGGCTGTGAGCTGTGACATCCCTGGGAATCCTTTCGAGGAAAATTGCTCCAAGTGCTTCCTTTTTGAACAGTTGTCTGTCTCGTGCAAGAATGGGAGTTGCATAAAATAGATTCTAAATCTAAAGAGTCATAGAATGGCCTGGGTTGGAAGGGACCTTAAAGGTCATCTGGTTGCCATGGGCAGGGACACCTTCCACTAGGCCATCATTCCAAATACAAATGATTTCTTGTGAAATTGTACCTGAACTTTGAGGGATGTTTGGTCGCTGTTCTTGCACGTGCAGACAATTCAGTCCTGAGTTATGTACTGTCGTGGTACAAGCAGGACCTGTGAACAAATCTCTCTACTCAAAGGCTCGCACCCCACAGCAGTTCAGAATTGTCCTGAAGCTGGAATGCTTGAGGGGTGCAAGTTGTGCAGTCCTTGGTTGGCTGTTTGAAGTGCAGGTTGTATCAGTGGCCTCAATCTCTAGATTAGGATTTCAGGGTCGAGAGGCCTCTGAAGACAGAGATACCTTCATAAAGAGATTAGTCAGGCTTTGGTCTTATTCTGGAAAGGTGTCTGCATGACAGAAGGGAGCTCAGGAAACAATCCATACTGTGATAGAAAGTCCAGTAAATGCATGTTTCTTCATGTTTTGTAAGTAGGTTGCTTTATACTGAGGCCTACACATATATTGCATGTAATTTTTTTCTGCTTCCTTCAGGTCCCAGGAAAGCTTACTTGTTGGTAGAAGACAGTGATTTTTTGTTTCAGTTTTGGATGCATGTGCATCAATACATTTTTTTTCTTTATGCTCTATGAGTTATGTATTTATGGGCTGGCAGCAAATAAGTGCAGAAGACAGGACAGTCTTCCAAAACATTAATGTGGGAGGTATTTCAGTACAGTAACTTATTGTATGCTTCTATAATTACTTCTACAAAATGGTTTCCATCCTGTCTTCTCCCACTAAGTCTAAAGCAGTTTTTAAAGAGCATAAATAGTACTTGTGTTTTATAAATGCAGAACTTGGCAAAGCTGAAGGAACAGCTCAATAGAAAAATCATTTTATGGAAGAGTTAAATAGACTTCATGCCTGGCTATCTACAGTAGGAAAGTAGCTTTTCCTAAGTAATTAAACAGTCACAGTTCTGGTTGCTAAGTCTGCATTCTTACAATCTTTAAGATGTGTATCTTAAAATTATTGAGAACTTGAGATCGAAACAGGGAAATTTTTTAACGAGACAAACGCGCAATCAAATTTTGTTTGGAAAGTTGCAAGGCGGTTTATCCGAGTTGACAGGAGCTGAATAGAGCTGTTTGTGTAATCTCAGCAGGGATTTCAAATGGCCTGATTTAATTTGAGCAAACAGAACTTTTCCTGTGAGTGCTTTTGTGGGGGGTGATAGGGGGGGAGTTGGGGGGAGTTTTCTCCGTATCTGCTCACGGGGTTTTGTTTCGTTCCAGCCCCCGTGGCCGTTCGCAGCCTGCAGGACCTGGCTCGCATCGCCATCCGGGGAACCATTAAGAAAATAATTCATCAGGAAACAATGAGCAAAACTGGGAATGGGCTGAAGAACCCCCCGAGATTTAAACGGAGGCGCGTCCGTCGCCGGCGCATGGAAACGATTGTTTTCTTGGACAAAGAGGTCTTCGCCAGCCGGATCTCCAGCCCGTCAGATGACAACAACAACAGCGAGGACATCGAGGAGGAGAGGCAGGAAGAGGAAGAAACCAAACCCTCTGAACTAAAGCCAGACCCTCCTGTAAACTTTTTGAGAGAAAAGGTCTTGAGTCTGCCTTTGCCCGATCCCTTGAAGTATTACTTGCTTTATTACAGGGAGAAGTAGTTTCCTTCTTCTAGGAAGTGGGAAGTAGGCAGGAAATAAAGTACTACTTAGGGCTTGACAAATGTACACCACTTGCTTGCCTGCAAATGTGACCACCCAAGGCAGTAGGCTGGGGAATGTGGCTGCTGTAAACTTCAACATTATAGCTTTTTTGAGTTTCTTCGTCCTTCTCAGTTGTGTGCTATAGTTTTATCCTACAGCAGGGATTCCTTAGGAAGCAAGTTGGTGAAATGCTCAGCTGCTTATGGAAAGGAGGATTTAATTCCCTTGAAACTAACTGCACAGAGATACTCTAAAAATCTCACAGCTGCTCTACCAAGTATCAGTTTTGAAAAACTCTGAAGCAGTTCCCCAAAGACCTTTCCTGTCTGTGCTCTCTCCCACTAAACCTGCCATGTGTTTATCATGGTGTGTGTTTAATGGAGGATGAAGATTATTAGTAAAAACTGACCTGGCCAATCTAGTTTCTTCCAGTAGTCTGAAAAAGCACAACTTTTACAGAAAGGAAAGAAATTTTTGGCATTACCCTTGTGGCATCCAGGTTTTGAATGAGAAGGAAAGCATCAGCTCCTCTTGGGTTGCTCTGTTTTACTTATAAACTAAATATAATTTTTCAGTAAAAAGCAAAAGTGTTTTACAGAATACTGGTTTTCTTAATTGGAAACACCTGTTCTAGTAAATGAGTTGGGGTTTTTTGTGGTTTTGGGGTTTTTTTTTTGGTGTTTTCTTTTTAAAGCGATGGAGGCAAGTGAGGAATTGCAAAGCTTCTTGGCTTTGACAGGATGCAGGGGTTGTCAAAGTTGGGACTGTGATCTCTGAAATTTTACAGAGTAATTCCAAATGGGGAGGAGGGTAGAGAAGAGCTGCAGAGCAGTGAGTTTGTGAAAACTGACTGTGAAAGCAGAATCTGGGGGTTTTGCTGTCGTGTGAGAGAAGTGTGATCATCTGGGCTGAACAGAGTGAAGTGCAGAGCGCCAGCCTGAGAGGTAAATTAGCCCAATATAGTTTTCTGGAGAGTATCTACAGCCTGGAAACAGTCTAGAAAGGCAGACTGGTGCAGTTTCTAAGTGTTCTGTGTGTGCCCCTGCTGTGGCAAGGTGAGGTGACTGGAATACAGCTTGGTACAGTTGTTTCATTCCTGCAACAACCGAGAGGGTTGTTAACAGGCTCACATGGAATGACTTGGCACTCTGCAGTTCTGTGGATGTGAGCTCTAATTTTTATTCCCAAGTCTTCCTGTCATGGTGGTGGAAGGAGATTCCGTGGTATCACAGAATGGTTTGGGTTGGAAGGGACCTTGAAGACCATCTCATTCCAAATCCCTGCCATGGGCAGGGACACCTTCCACTAGACCAGGTTACTCAGATCCCCATCCAGCCTGGCCTTGAATAGTTCCAGGGATGGGGAGTCCACAGTGTCTGTGGTCAAAAAATACTGTGTTTAGAAGAGTTTTACTTGGTTCAGCCTGTTTGAAAAATCTGCCTAAAGTGGTAAGGGCTGGAAAGGAACTTGAGTTTGTGTTGATGTGAAATACTCCTAAAGCTGGGGGGGGATGAAAGGCCCCCTCTTGGTAGGTGGTGAAGCTGTGTTAAGGCATTGCCCCATCAAAAGCACTAAAGTTGGTATCACTTTGGTATCTTTTTTTTTGTGTGTGTGTGTGCTCTCTCCTCATTCTCTGAGGAGGAATGAAAGAAAGACTGTCTTGCCAAAAATACGCCGGCTTTTCGGTGAATGGTCCCGAGTTGCACAACTTGCTTCAGAGGTCTGAGTGGCTTTGAAAATAAATGGATAACTCTTGTATGCCTGAGCCTGAAGTGAAGAACTCTTCCTTGCTTTATAGGAGTTCTGTGTATCTTTGAGAATATCATCTCCTAGTGCTCTATCATGTGGCTGCTGGCACATAACACAGGCACAGGCTGTGTTTTGCCTCTGGTTTCCTAAGTCTCCACTTCTGGTCTAAATGGAACCCCAAATTAGCTTGCTCCCTCAGGTTTTTCTTTCTCTGTTTAAAGTGGGGCAGTTCTGTGGCCACTGAGCTGATGGTTTCCTGTAAACGTTCATGTACCCACCGTGTAATTCCGGCAACTGCAGTGGATTTGTTTCCACGGATGAATATCCTGAATATGGTGGTAAATAGAGGCGTAATCTTTATGTCATTATTCTCTGTGCTCCCACAAAGGCTATGGCCCCTGTATTTGTTAGACATTTCTGCTTAGTAGGTGTCATACCAGGTGCCTTTGTGTATTATGGCACAATTTCCACACCTCTCTGTAGTTCAGGGTGCCTCCTGCTTTTGGCTATCAGGTCATCCTTTGGTTTAATTATGAAACTTTTAAAGAGTTCCTTTAAAAATGACATTAAACTTCAGGTTCTTACTAGTAGGCCTTCCTGAGATTCTGTTAGAGCTGATCAGTTGAGGGAGAATTATCTTTCATTTATCCCTGTTTGATTTTTTTATTCCCCATCCCAGCCCCAGTTGTAAAAGATATTTTATTGGATTTTTCACCAGATTTGCCTTTTTTATTACATTTTTGTAGCTTTCTATAAGATGCATAAATACTGCTATTTTTTTCCTGGATGAAGTTGAATAAATAAATATATATATACAGGAAATTTATGTTCTAGGTTGTCAGATTGTCCCCTTGTCCAAAAAAAACCCCACAGGTCCAAACAAACACATAGTAGAAATTTTATTTGTAATATAACTGTGAAATAGTATTGCTTATAGCCTGTAAATAAGGGGAAACTGTAAATACATCTTCCCTGTGCACAAGCACTTGCACTGTAGTTTTGTAGCATTTCTAGCAGAGGAATTGTATTAGAGCTGAGTTTGTATGGTCTGTAAGCTGTCTAGGAATTGTACCTGCTTTGTTTCCTTTTGTGTTCTAAGTAGTCATCACTTTTATTGTGACTCTTTTTAGGTTTCAATCCTGCAGTAAATTTTCAAAAGAACTGAACTTCAAGCTGCTTTAATCATGAGTGTGTAAGTTGAAAAATCTCTGTGTTGAAACTAGAGTTAAATTGGCCTGAGGCATGCAGAAGTGTTACACAATTTGAACTTTATTAATAAGTGTTTCTGTATCAATAAGTTCAGTAAAGACTTTTTAGCCTTCTTAACATGGCTTTGCATCATGTTGTGCTTAGAATAATTTGTAGATAAGTACTTATTTCCATGACCGAAGGTGAAGACATTAGAACACTAGAAAAAACAGTTGGTGCAGGTGCATAGTTCTAGATGAACTCCTCAGAAGAAAATCTCCTCAGAAGAAACCTGCCCAGCCCACGAGTTCCAAACCTTTATGTAATGCAGCTGTGCAAGATGATTTTTGGAATCAGCACACACACCACTGATCTGGATTTAATGCATCAGAACAGTTAAAGAGTGAAATTCTCTTACCTGGCTGATCGACCTGTAGACAACAGATACCCAGAGGTGATTCAGTTCATTTCTGCACTTCAAGGAATTGCCTAAACCAAACATGTCAGGAGTTTGTTCCGTGCATTCTGACCTGCAGCTCCCCTCTTGTCCCCTGGGCTCTGCTTCAGTGCTTAATTAATGCAGATTTTTGAGAGGTGGCGTTCAAAGCTTTCATTCCTCTGGTACTGAGAATAATATTTTGGCTTCAGCTGTGGTAGGAAACTGGTCACAACAGCAAATACAGCTGCTGCTAATTAAATGAATCTGTTAACCTTTATTCCATAGGATAATTGCCTGCCTGTGTGTTTCTTCCTGTCATCTGTGTGTATGATAAATGTCCCTTTACCAGCTATAACAGGAGATTAGTTTGATGTTAATGTTTTCCTTCATGTGATGCTTGCTGAAAGAAAATCCTTTTCTGCTTTGGAAAGCCATGGATGTGTCATGGAAATGGTATCGAGGAAATTAAATTTGTCAGATGATGTTTATGTTCACTTCATTGCAAAACGTAAAACATCACAGTCCCCTGGGATGTAGTGAGGGGGTAGATCCCCTGAGGGAAATCTTTCTACTGGGACAGAATTTCTAGTTAAAAATAAAACAAAGAAGGGTGGGAGGGGGGAAAGAAGCACACCAGAGAGAAACCCCAAAACTTCCTTGTGCTCTACAGGTTTGAAAAGCCTGTGTGGAAGAGGCTGGAAATGCAGGAGGATGGAATACAAGGGTTAACTTTAATTGCAGTTGCTCAGGGGTTAATTTCTGGTTCTTGCTCAGAGCTGTACACTCCTTTTTAAACAATTTTTCATGTCTATGGAAAATCAGATAAATTAATGTGAGAGGAAGGGGACTGGGATTGCTGGTGTTTCATAACATCTCACAATCATCCCATTTGTCGTGGAGATAAGGAGAGGTATGGTTCAAGTTCAAGGGAAGATCTGCTTCTAAGTAGATGTGGGGGTTGCAGAACTTGCCTTTTTGCACTCAGATTATTCCCTGTGGCTGCTGTTAAATCTGCTGACTTGGCTGAAGATCCCATGCCTACAGAGTAGTGGGCAAATCCTTCCTGAAGCTGCCCCCCATGGCACAGCTGGGTTCTGAAATACAATTCCAGACAATATATAAGGAAACCTGACTGAGGCCTGGCCCGGCTCTCCTGTTGCAATATAAATAAACCTAGAAGGGATTTTTTTTGTTGTTATTGTTGGAGGGGGTTGGTTTAGAGCTCAGAGTTTATGCACCAAGAGGTAACGGAGGCAGGAGGCAAAAGCCCCATTATTTGCAAAGCTGGCCGGATGTGCCAGGGAAAATAATGACCCCAAAACACCCGGGCATGGTTTGGAGAGAGCAGTTTTGTTTATTTTCCTAGAAATACTTCCTTGCTGAGCAGCTCCCAAGTAGCTGTGCTGCCCTGTCCTAACAGAGTCCTGTGTGTTTTGGAAAGAGGTGATGTGGGAAGCAATCAACAGAACTTAAGCCATGAAGACTTTAACACAACGTGCGTTGTCTGATGCGCGTGGAGGATGTGATTCCGATGGACTTGACATCTCAAATTGGAATTAAAAGCTGTCATATTCACACGGAGCACTCTGATCTCAGCTGCCGGTTGTTGGATAAAGGCTAAACCTGGTAATATGGCCTTCTACAGCCCGTTTTTGTAAGGCAGGGTTGGGTTGGGTGGCCGCTAGAGGACACTCTGCCCAAAACCATGAGTCAGATGCACGGCGGGGGGAGCGGATGAGTTCAGCGAACTTGCTTAGATTTCCAAGTGATGTCCCGGCAAACAAATAGCAGATTACCTGAGGACAGGATGCAGGAAACCTGCAGTATAATGCTCTTTTATAGCTGGGAAAAAAATAGTTATTTTACCTTCTATGACATGAAATTTTAGGTTAAACCCCAAACCCAACGCACTCCCCAAATGCTCAAGTGACAGAGAATATGAAGGGAGAAGAGAACCAAGAAGGTATAAATGTCACTTTTGTTAATACTTCTCTGTCATATTAATTATTTTTTTAGATTACAGTCTAAAGCAGATGTGCAGGTTCATGGGAAACCTTCATTTGATCATCCAGGTAATGTGGATTGATGCCATGTTTGTACTTCCTCAAGTACCTTCATATCCTAATGTGTGTTAGTGCCTCCCTCATCCTAAACCCACACATTTAGGATCTTGTGTAGTAATAACTGAAAACCTAAAGACAAGATGGTTTCAGTCTGAGCTTCTTTACAAAGATGATTAATTCAAATGGGAACAAATCCTGCCTTTTGCATCCCAATTTTATCATGCAGTGGGAGAAACAAACAGGGACCTTAATTTCCTACAGCTCAAACTCAGTTGATTTCAGTGTTTCTTTCCCTTTTCACCCCTCAGTTGCCTTTAATTCCTCCAAAATCCTGACATTTTTCCAAATGGCATCCTTGTAGAAAGAAATTGTATTTGGCAAAATGTCTTTGAAATGAATCAGCTTTCACTCTGCATAAGAAACTTTACAGATTGTGGGATGGGGATTTGTCTTTATTTGCAGGTTATTTATCTCTGTTCTTGATCTCCCTTTTAAAATCACTTATCTGTAGCATTCCATGCTCCCATCAACGGTTGGAAATGTGTTTTTCCTGGATGTTGTGACTCCATGTAATAAGAGACAGCCTCTATCCTAAAAGTCTTAGTGCCCAATACATTTGACAGGCTGTTAGATAAGACACTCTCCTTCGTTTTCAGAGTGTGCTAAGGCAAAAAAAATTGACATGAAAACCTTGACCCTGGATCTTTTGCATCCCAGCTCAGCCCTGGAAGCACGGGATCGTTATTTGGTTGTTGTCCATGAAGGTGCATTCTGGTGTCAGACAAATGCCCGAGGAGGAGATGAGGAGTTAACTAGCTGTTCGAAAGAAGCAACGAGGCGAAAATAAATCAAAACCAAGAGTTTATATTTCAGCGCCACAATTAAAGAGGGGTGGGGACGGTCTGATCTTCAGTGATGTACATAATGGCAGAGGGGGTGGGCGGTTGGACTGTCAAACTGCCTTAATTTAATTGCAAACACATGCTGATGAGTCCCCTCCTCCTGGACCTCAGGGCTGGGAAACTTTTTTTTTTTTTTTTTGTCAGCTCCCTGCAGCTCAGAATCGAGGCAAATGCACTCCAGCAAACACCATGCTGATGAAACCTTCAGCTCTTGGAGGCTTTTTGTGTTTTCTCCTCTTGCCTGGTTTCTCCTGCTCCTGCCCCAGTCGCTGCCTGTGCTTCAGGACTACGGTGCGATGCATGCATCTGATGTTGGAAACCATCCCCGAGATCCCGCCCCAGACAAGCATACTGTGAGTAACCAGTTTGCTGCTTTTCTCTACCTGCTTGGTCTTTGGAAAGAAGGAAAAAAAAACCACAAAAAAACACAAAAAAGTCAAGGCCAAAGGCATAGTTTTATGTTCCTTTTTTCTTTTTTCCCACAGAATTCCCTGCCTCACAAATTGTTTCGTGCTTTTGAAACACAAAGCAGAAACTGCTTCTTTTGGCATCAGTTAATTGCTAATGGGACAATCAAGGGAATTGAAAAATTTAGTAAGAATAATGCCAGGGCAAGCACTGGAAGACAGTTTTGGAGAATCAAAAGTCACAAATATTGAACTGAGCTTATAGAAATGTATGCAGTTTGCATTTTAGAAAGCTTTGGGTGTAGGGGAGAGAGGAAATAGAGCAGTTCAGGCTTTTGTCTCTACTGACACAAACCCTTTCCTGGTACATACAACACCATTTCATTCCTAAATTTTTATGTACTGATTTTCCAGTTTCTATCTCAGCTATACAAACCAAACTTAAGGCTTATTTAGACAGTAACAGTTGTGATAACTCACAGATTCCTTGAGAAATAAAGTACCTGTCAGTGAGGGAGCTGCTGGCTGAGTCCATTCAAACAGGAAAGGTGGGGGAAAAGGCTGTGTAATGCTTGGTGACTCCTAAATAGCTCTCACTGATAGAGGCAGAAGAGCACTTCCCTGTGATTCTAAACTAATCCTGAACTTAAAGGTGGGCTTGAGATCTCACTAATACCGCTAATGCATCTTCTCTGCTTGCAACCTGAGGAACATGATGTGGGCAGGATGCTGGCTTTGAACTGCTGCCATCCAGACCTGCTTTCATGGAAGGAGACCACTAGCATTAGTGACCCACAGGATGAGGTCTACACTTGCTACAGCTGCCAAAGCTTTCTCTCTGTTGATGGCTGTTGATGGAGTGGTTATTTACAGTGACACTGCTCAGTACTGTGCAGACTGGGTAGTGGTTATCTGCACTTACAGCAACTTGCAGTGTCTGACTCTTCCAGCTGTCACCAAATCTTTTCTCCCCCTTATTCCCCTGCATCTTGAAGTATTAAAATATTTCAAATACCCTGACATTGTTTGATTTTAGCGCAGTAACTTGTTCCTCCTTGGTTAAACATAGATTTTTTTGTTGAGGGAAAAATTTGTTTCATTGGCTGAACTGAGATATTTCTGAGCTCATTAAAGCTTAATTTCTGTTCGGTGTTTGAAATGTGGCCACATTTGCTGTCACATTTGCTCCCTCTGGCAGCAGCACACTTCGTTCTCTGTGCTGCAGGGGGCAAAGCCTGACCCTGGCCTGTGTTTGTCCTTGCAGTTTTAGCAAATTTCCAGGTAGTATCCTGCTGTGATGGAGGTTGCACTGAGTCGCCTGTAAAACTCAATCTGGAAAGGTGACCAGGTTTTCCAGTGCAGTCACCCTAATTCCCTCTCTTCTGCTCTAACTGCTTTGTGTGTGCACTGCTTGTAAATGGTCCACGTTTTCCCTCCTTAACCATTTGGAAAGGAGATTTATTTAGTTTAAGAGAAGTGCAAGAACTTTGAATGGGAAACTGGGTTTTAAAACATTAACAAGATGGTGTAGGCGTGAGACGTAAAAGTAGTAATATTCCAAAATGAGGTGACTGTCTTTGTGGACCAGTATTTTTTAAGGCAATTTATCTGGTTTATTCTCTTTTACTTCTGTCTGCATAATTTTAAGCAAAGCCCATACTGGTAAGCAGAGATCCCCATAGATGTAAAGACACATGAGCCTGGTGAGTGCTCTCTGTTGGCAGATCATGTGCCTTTGTGTGGTGTGTGGCAAGTAAAAATCCTGACTTTCTGGCTATCTTGAAGATCTAATGTATGCAAATGCATTTCCCAGCCAGCATCCCATTGTATTATTATAAATAACGTTTGAATAATTAAACTTTTTTGAATTGTGCAAGATCAAAGAATGCTTTTAACCAAGCCCTGACTACTCCAGCTTTTTGGTATGTTAATCTATCTCCTGGGAGGACTGTTGTGTCAGACTGAACGTTCAGAACTATAGCAAGAGTAGTCTTGATCATGGAGTTTTTCTGAGTAGAAAATGTGGGATATTTTCCACACTTACCCTTCAGTATGAGTAGGACTGAGTCTGTGACTGCAGCTCCAAACACCAATCCCAGGCTCCAGCTCG